CTAGTACCAAGGGCTGAAGGCTGAGCACCACCGCCCAGGGCCATGGGGCTCTGGCTTCAGCTTCAGGCCTGGGCAGTGGGACTCAGGCTACAGCTTTGGCCCCTCTGCCCAGGGCAGCGGAGCTCAAGCTTCGGCCCCCGTGGCCCCCCCACAAGGGGCTTGGGCTTCATTCCCCCCTCCTGGAGTCATGTAGTAATATTTGTTGTCAGAAGGGAGTTGCTGTGCAATGAAATTTGAGAACCTCTGATTCTAGCTCAAGGCCATCACCATGTTTCACAGAATCATAGAACTGGATGGGACTTCGAGAGGTCATCTAGTCCCGTCCACTGCACTCAAGGCAGGACTAAGTATTATCTAGACCACCCCTGACAGGTATTTGTCCAGCCTGCTCTTAAAAATTCCCAGTAATGGAGATTCCACCACCTCCATAGGCAATTTATTCCAGTGCTTAACCACTCTGACAGTCAGGAAGTTTTTCCTGATGTCCAACCTAAACCACCCTTGCTGCAATTTAAGTCCACTGCTTCTTGTCCTATCCTCAGAGGTTAAGAATAACATTTTTTTCCCGCTCCCCCCTATAGCAACCTTTTATGTACTTAGAATCATAGAATATCAGGGTTGGAAGGGACCCCAGAAGGTCATCTAGTCCAACCCCCTGCTCGAAGCAGGACCAATTCCCAGTTAAATCATCCCAGCCAGGGCTTTGTCAAGCCTGACCTTAAAAACTTCTAAGGAAGGAGATTCTACCACCTCCCTAGGTAACGCATTCCAGTGTTTCACCACCCTCTTAGTGAAAAAGGTTTTCCTAATATCCAATCTAAACCTCCCCCACTGCAACTTGAGACCATTACTCCTTGTTCTGTCATCTGCTACCATTGAGAACAGTCTAGAGCCATCCTCTTTGGAACCCCCTTTCAGGTAGTTGAAAGCAGCTATCAAATCCCCCCTCATTCTTCTCTTCTGCAGGCTAAACAATCCCAGCTCACTCAGCCTCTCCTCATAAGTCATGTGTTCCAGACCCCTAATCATTTTTGTTGCCCTTCGCTGGACTCTCCCCAATTTATCCACATCCTTCTTGTAGTGTGGGGCCCAAAACTGGACACAGTACTCCAGATGAGGCCTCACCAATGTCGAATAGAGGGGAACGATCACGTCCCTCGATCTGCTCGCTATGCCCCTACTTATACATCCCAAAATGCCATTGGCCTTCTTGGCAACAAGGGCACACTGCTGACTCATATCCAGCTTCTCGTCCACTGTCACCCCTAGGTCCTTTTCCGCAGAACTGCTGCCTAGCCATTCGGTCCCTAGTCTGTAGCTGTGCATTGGGTTCTTCCGTCCTAAGTGCAGGACCCTGCACTTATCCTTATTGAACCTCATCAGATTTCTTTTGGCCCAATCCTCCAATTTGTCTAGGTCCTTCTGTATCCTATCCCTCTCCTCCAGCGTATCTACCACTTGAAAACTATCATCATGTCCCCTCTCACTCTTCTCTTCTCCAGACTAAACAAACCCAATTTTCCCTCATAGGTCATGTTTTCTAGACCTTTAATCATTTTTGTTGCTCTTCTCTTGAATTTCTCCAATTTGTCCACATCTTTCCTGAAATGTGGCACCCAGAACTGGACACAATACTCCACTTGAGGCCTGATCAGCGTGGAATAATTATTTCTCGTGTTTTGCTTACAATACTCCTGCTAATACATCTCAGAATGAGGTTTGCTTTTCTTGCAACAGTGTTAGACTGTTGACTCATATTTTGGTTGTGATCCACTATGAGCCCCAGATCCCTTTCCAAAGTATTCATTCCTAGGCAGTCATTTCCCATTTTGTATGTGTGCAACTGATTGTTCCTTCCTAAGTGGAGTACTTTGCATTTGTCCTTATTGAATTTCATCTTATTTACTTCAGACGACTTCTCCAGTTTGTCCAGATCATTTTGAATTTTAATTCCATCCTCCAAAGCACTTGCAACCCCTCCCAGATTGGTATTTTCGGCAAACTTAATGGTATAGAGAGTACACTTATAATCTAAATCATTGATGAAGGTATTGAACAGAACCGGACCCAGAACCGATCCCTGCGGGACCCCACTCATTATGCCCTTCCAGCATGACTGTGAACCACTGATAACTACTCTCTGGGAACGATTTTCAAACCAGTTATGCACCCACCTTATAGTAGCTTCATCTAGGTTGTATTTCCCTAGTTTAGTTTATGAGAAGGTCATGCAAGACAGTGTCAAAAGCCTTACTAAAGTCAAGGTATACCACATCTACCCCTTCCCCCCTATCCACAAGGCTTGTTACCCCATCAAAGAAAGCTATCAGGTTGGTTTGACAAGATTTGTTCTTGACAAATCGATGCTGACTGTTATTTATCACCTGATTATCTTCTACATGTTTGCAAACTGATTGCTTAATTATTTGCTCCATTATCTTTCTGGGTACAGAAGTTAAGCTGACTGGTCTGTAATTCCCTGGGTTGTCCTTATTTCCCTTTTTTATAGATGAGCACTATATTTGCCATTTCCCAGTCTTCTGGAACGTCTCTCATCTTCCATGACTTTTCAAAGATAATTGCTAATGGCTCAGATATCGCCTCAGTCAGCTCCTTGAGTTTTTTACTGTGCTGTTGCAAACAGCCAACCATTGAGAGCATTCCCCTAATCATAGCAGCATGCCTATTGCTCTCAGCCAGTCTGGAGTCTGAACTACAGCTTCTGGTTCTGGTGAATGAAACGCTGTTTCCTCACTTCCCTGGTCTGTTCACCCAACATGGAATATAGCCTTTTCAGATGACAATCATGCTTGCTGGGCAAAGAATAGAACTATGGATGTCATCAACAGTCCAAGCACAATCTGGGAAACATCTTGCAAAAACACTTCATAATCTCAGCGACATTGTGCACTTTGATTACACATCTCATGTAGGGCACTATGTATTACCGTCTCCAGCTAAAGAGCCCCCACAGTGGGCTTGGCAACATGAAATGCATATATCCATCAGCAGTACTCATCTGAGGTTGCCAGTTTTCACAGAGTAATTACTACTCTAGTTAATGGCAAGTACACGTGGAAGAATTTATGCTCTTATGTCTGGACAAGTTCCCCAGAGATACAGAAACTGTATGCCTCATTCAGACATTCTATATCAACAACAGCACCTCATTCTAAGTCTCGATCACAGCTCTGTTTCCCCCCGTCACTGGAAGTATTCCTGGCCCAAAAAAGGCACTTGGTTTGCTTGTGATAAAAATACCTGTCATGCAGAATCAAATGGCAGCAGAGGCTCAGAAATGGTAGTGGAGAAAGCTCCAGGAGATCATGAGGGTGATCAGAGAGCAAGAACTACAGTCCATGGAGTCCTTGTTACAGCTGCTGACAGTGCAAATAAGTAAGAGAAGACCGGGTCACTCTCTTATTCAGGCCAAGGTCAACTGCCAGCTGACTCCTGGAGCTTTCTCCACTACCATTTCTGAGCCTCTGCTGTCATTTGACTCTGCATGACAGGTATTTTTATCACAAGCAAACCAAGAGCCAGCTCAGCTCCCTTGGGGTGTACACTGTTTTTGTAGTAAGCACATAAAAGATCATTCCCAAAGAGTGGTTTGGGGTATTCACCCTGTCTCCCAGGCCAGGATATCCTTCTGGTTTCCACACCACCTTACAAGTTCTATACATCCCGATGCCATGAAGCTGTGACAGGGATAGGGAGTTTGGAATATGCAAAATGTTCTGGGACTGAAGCACCAGAAGTGAGTATTAAGGCTAGTTAGTGTGGGTGATGAACCTTCCTAGGTCCAAGTGGTATTATAAACACTTATCTGTAATATTTAACCTTGAAACTGTTAAAGATGCACCTCTCATTACTCTCATCATCTGTACTGGTTCCATGCCAACAACATCAAATATTTTTTAAAAAACCCTTATTTTTGCCACCAAAAATTAGCAGGAATGATTCTTGTTCTCTGGGTATTCAATCTGTTGAGTAGGAGGTGCCATTTTTACTGTAATTTTTCTGACTACAACCATACCTTGGGCAAAAAAAGTCTCACATTATCCCCATGTACAGTACCTGCTAAGGATTTCTAAAAAGAGTAGTCCAACAAACTATTAAAAAAAAAAAAAAGAAAAAAGAAAGTTTACAAAGGTTTCATCTTGTCAGACTAGAGAAAACACAAAAAGAAAAAAACATTTTGAAGTAAAAAGAATGTGCAGATTCACTAGGTTAAAAATTGCAACTGTGGTGTCTATTGCAAAGTAGCTGAGAATATGATTTCAGAACTAAGCAAAAACATAAGCGAAGTGTCTGACCCAGTATGGCCATTCTTATGTTCTAATCCCTCTGCTGATGTAGGACTAATGTAATGGGGTGTACTTATGCCACATGTGACCAGAACAGCAAGGGGTAAACAGAGGGCACTGAACCAAAGAAGAGAACCAACCCACAAGCCTCATCATTCCGGGAGCAAAGCCTCCAGCTGTGTCTAGGCAAGAACAAGAAATGAAAAGAGGCAGCAGAACCTATAAAAGCTTCCTCTATTAGTTTCCACACCAACGGTCTGCGTTTTTTGACATTTGGTTACTTTTCCCTGAGAGTGAGAAACAATATGCTATATTTGTTATGAAAGCTAAAGACTGAGTTTTTTAATATATTTCTATGACAACACTGGACCACGCTGACTGCCCCCCTGAAATAATCAGAATCCCAATTTCTTTGCTTCTGGGGCAGCAGATTTTCCCAGGTACAGTTCCAGATCTGCAGGAGACAGCGACAGTGCCAGTGCCAGAAGATTGGGGGGAAGAGGGGGACACATTTTGGAATTGCTTGCCAAAGATCTTTGTGCATCCCTTGTCTGGTGCTGTGTTCCACTGTCTGAGGCTGTGGCTCAACTCAGACAATGCACAGCATATCACATTTACGGATGCTTTAGGGAAGGAAGAGATGACAAGTTGTGTTAATAGAGTATATCTATTAGTTATTAAGAGAGTTCTTACCTGTATTTTTATCGGCCAGGTGAAGTTGCTCACGTAAACAAAGAAAGTGATGTTGGGGTTGCTCCGGAAATCAAATTTCTCATTGGAGAAGCTGTCCTTGTATTCCTTTATGTTGGACCTTGAAACAACTGGAATCTCCTCCCCTGCCTGGGTGCCAGCTGTTTCAGAATTTAAAAAGTAGCAATAAAAGTTTGCTTTCAGCACCGATCTTAAGTGATTTTCAAAGGGGACCAATTATCCTTAGTTATTAAGCTATGGCTGTGACAGTAAAAGGAACTATTCATCTGAAGACTGCAATTTTGAGTTGTATTTCATTAGTAGAATCAATGAACACACAAAATATTGCATTACAAAAAATTAGATCAGCATTTCCACTGTCTCCAATGCACATTATCAAGATGTGAGAATTGGAAAACTGGAGAGGGGAAAACTAAAATTCCTTTCTTAATTTAATTTCTTTCCCACATCCCAATTTCTAAAATGTAACATATAGTGTTTAATTATTCCCGTACAGTTGAGATTCTGGTTTACTTTTCTCTTTTACCTGCAAAACTCGTTGACCAAGTTATGTTCAGGTTGAAGTTTTTAGATGCGTTGATAAACATGTCCAGGTCTCTATTTTGCTGATTTAGAGAAAAAGAGAGAGAAGAAAACAGTTATTTTTAACAGATGTCATTCAACTAAAATTGATCTGTTTTGAAAGCAACTCTCACTAAAAGTGTCAGAACTATAGTTATTTCACAGTATGTTGAATAAAATACTCATCTACATGTGAGAGCACTAACATCCAGCAAGACACATTTTAAAGATCCACCGTATATAAAATAGAACATAGCTGTACATTTTCATTTGGATCTCCCCAAAAAGAAAAGTTTACTTCAATGTAATTCCAAACCATATTCATTTAGGGTTCTTTGCAGACTATCTTAAGTATGATTCTGGGGTCACTGGCAGTGGCAGCATTCAAATATATTTTAATGCAAACACATTTAGATAATTTTTGGTTTTAAATACTCTTCCCCCGCCCCCAATAAAACAATTAATTTTGTATCCTCACAAAATATCTGCCCTGGTCTAGATTTCAATTCATGTTACCTATTGGTATTCCTCCCCACCTCCATCTTTGCTCTGACAATGGCCCTCCATATGTTCCTCTCGCTCCAATATCTGTGCCTTCTTTTATAAAATTAAATAATAATATAAATTTTTATAATAGAATATAAATTTATAGTCTCTTTTGTGATAACTGGGCCTACAAATTTTCCCTAACTCTGAGCTCAACTGTGAAAAGTGAGTGAAAGTTCACAAAATGTTACAATAACTCATAATAAATGTTGACAGGGAAAAAGTGCAAAAAGACTGAATTAGCCTAAACAAAAAAAGGCCTCCTGATATAACTCAAGGACTGTGTTAAGACCATGCCTGGTCAACAAGAAAAGTATGGGACTGGAAATTAATTAACCAAAATTGGTGAGTCAGAAATTAGGTCTAACTGGTGCACAAAATAATGAGGGGATGGGACCATTCTGTCCATCACTCCCTTTTGGGGTCCTTAACAAAAAAAGACTTGGGGTAAGGGGAAATACAGACAGATGGCTGACTAGAGAAGAGGAAGGTGAAAACTTCATCATGACAGCTGCCAACCCCACCATCTCCTCAGACTCTTCATCGTCTGGTTACGGAGAGATGTCCTGAGCAGACTGGGCCAAGGAAGAGGGACCCAGACAACATCACCATTGCCACTTCAACTGGTTCATGCTAATCCCAAATATCACCTGACACGTGAGGCTGTGTCTCATACACATCCTTCTCTTTTCTTTCCTTCCCCTGTTTCCCAAAAGGTTCTTTTCCTTCCCACCATATTTCTTCTCTTTCCTAGCCCTCTCCTTTTTCCTTTTGTCCAGCTATTTGTCTTATTAGACAACAATGCATATGTTGCAACATTGCTGTAAGCCTGAGCCCGGAAAGGCAGCTAAAAGCAAAGCCTTAAACATCCCGATGCTGGTACAAGTTTGTCAGGTCTCAGAGTCACTGATAAGACCTTGTGCTGTGCTTGTATTTCTCCAGCAGTGAAGCTGCAAGTGAGAGATAACACTAGAGACAGAAGTTGTATTTTCTATCTTTGTTGTTCTTCACTTTTCCCTTTTGTGTGCATTTCATTTGTTTTGTCTTTTAGGAAATGGGATCAGATTTCAACGACTGTAACAATAGCTCCTGCCCATTATAAGTAACTAAGGATAGTTAACATCCGTAGTACCATCTAAGAGACTTTCAGACAAGTGGGCATGTTTTTAAAGACTCTCTCTGGCTAAAGGGAGAGGGAAGAAGGAATGTTGTGAGAATGAAACTTATTAATGCTTTCCTTTTTAAATGCTTTTTAACGGTTTTTTCCTTATTTTCTGTATTCCTAATAAGGGATTCAAACGATTCTTAATAGTGTTTGCCATGTACTAGGCAGGCTGGGGTCTCTGTATACCAAACCCCAAACCTTTTTCTAACACTGCTTAATGCTGGACAGCAATAGCACCATGTTAGTATCTTTGACTCTTTGGATCCATATATTCCATCTAACTAAATACAACAGAGCCCTTGCTTGGTTTGACACCCCGGTCATGGAGTGCAGGTCCCATGGGGCCTCATTACACTGATGGGTGCCAAGGGGAGGTCATCCTGGCCCCCAAAGCCATGGTTTCCCCATTATTAGCCTGGAGGCTGTGGTTGTTGATCCTGCGGGAGAATGCAGGGCTCTCTCTTAGAGCCAAGAGGCTCCTTAAGAGCAGCCAACAAGGAACTGTAAGCTGCATTCCAAGGAGAAGTCTCTGCTCAAGAGTTTGGAGAAGTTCCTGTACTCAGCTGGATTGAGCAGACAGACAATATTACTGCTTTGACTTATCCCATCCACAGCATCTTTTGGTAGGAATGATGTGAGCACTGAAAAAAATGGGAAGTGGTTTTATCTGCACTGAAGGAGTCTGTGTCATTCACCGTATCAAGGAGCCTCCTGTTTGTACTGCAATAGCACCACGGACCACAAAGATGGATCAAGGCCCCATTATATTAGGCTCTGTACAACCAGCTCAGTGCTGGTGGCCTCTGAGCTATGTTCTGATGTTCTTGGAGCCTGATTTAAGACATGGAGTACTGTTGCTTTTTCCTGTCTCCCCACCCCTCAGTTCCAAGGATGAAACTGACAGCATTAACTCGCTGCAGTGTTTGGACCAACAGGACGTTTTCCTGCACAACAGGATCAGAGAAATTTTGGGATTCTGAATTCAGCTGGTTATTAAACACAGAAGAAGCCCTGGTGTTAACTGACTAAGAGTTATTCTGGCTAGCCCATGGGCTTTGTCCCTGCAGAATAACTGGAAGCTGACCTCTCTCTGTGCTCTTGAGGTGAAAGAGAAGCGACCTTCACTGATGCACAGGAGTCACCATGAATGTGGAGCTGCACTTGAAGTCAGATACCTTACATGACTGCTCTATATTTCCATTCCAAAAGGAGATGCCTTTTGCACCAGGAAGAAAAGCAAAATAAACAACAGAATGAACTGTGCCATGGCATAATTCTACACTGACTAACTATATTAGAGTAAAAGAAAGTGAAGAAAGCAGACACAATAAGATACAAGACTAACTGCAAGCAACAACAGAAAGCTAGAGGGGTTTGACTACATATTCCAGAAGTACAAAGCTAGTGAACTGCAGGTTTAGGCTGCGGTTCCTTTTGCCCCGCTTTGGCCACAAACATTTGGAGCTGCAAGGAAGCAAGATGTAGCTACACAGATTGAGGACATTCTGGCTAGCACATGGACTATGCATGTGCACCAAGGCGGTAGTTCTGTTCAAAGAACAGTATGAGCCACTCTCTTCAGTGCAAGGAGAAGGCAGATTTTTTTAAACAAAGTATGAAATGTAGGGATATCAAAAAGGAAGAGACCATACTCACCTCTTCAGGTGTTGCTACAAAATTGATTGCAGTATAGTAGCGATCGTCCTCTTGGGAAAGGCTGAAGGTGAACTGATAGTCGATAAGAAGAGTATCTGTAAAGAATACATGCAAAAAAGGTGAAAAAGTGCCTTGAAATAAAACAAGCTTCTGGAAAGCAAGGCAGGTAAGTGATTTCTGATTTAGATTAAGCAAACAGCTTACTGCAACAAGAGAGAGTTACTGCACTGTTATAATCTGCCCTCAACAGAAAGTTGAGTTTGGGAGAGAATAATGAACACTTTAGACACCTCACTATACCAACCTCAGAGGGTATTACATCCTACTCTATTAAAGTTAACCCAACTTTTTTTTTTTTTGGAAGAGAAGGGGGGAAAGGTTTACATTTTTCAAGCAGGACATCTGATAAAAGTCTCCATCCTAAGAGAACTTGGTAGAAGGGAAATGTGGTTGACTACATAATTTAACCACATTTTCCTTAGTTCTTGTCGTTTCACCAAGTCTAAAGTATCTATCAAAACTGTTTATCAATGTTATGGGAGTTTAAAGAAGACCAAACATTTTTGAATGGCAGAATACAATGTTCCCATTAGAACAGTGTGGGGAAAAACATCTAGCAAAACTGGTAAACCACCACATTTTCACTGCATTTGGGAAAAATCAAAGGCCAGGCAAATACAATAAAATTGCTACTACGGCTAATAAAACAAGGCCTTTTTCAAAAAGTGGGTTGAGGCTTCATGACGCACCAATATCTTATCTTGTTCTCTTTTCTCTTTTCCCTACCCCTCCCCTCCCATGAAAGAAGCCTAATCCAGTCCACCGCAGTCTCTACTGGGCTCAAAGGAGTGCACAAAGGAACTAAATATTTAATGAAGTATTTGTAGCCATCATGACAATACACAGCACTGACAATAACTTTTTTAAAGATCATCATGTTCCCAGTCTTCTGGGCTTCAAAATTACTATCAAGAAGCCTGCCCTACACTGTGCTGTTTCTCCTTTCCCATGTGTTTGGCATAAGCAACATTGTTGTGTTTGATAACTGCACAAGATTATCTTTAAAACCTATCAGTGCTGCTCCTCGACTGCCCAAGCAGGATTTAGCACACTTCTAATTTCCACACCTCCTTAGAAATCCTGTCTGAACCCTTCATTGCTATTTAATTTAAGATGTTTTTTCATCTAATGTCTTTCTAAAAGTGTTGATCTCAAATATTTAAGAGTGGTAAAATAAGATAAAACTAGGATAATCTGAAATTTAGTAGTGTAAAGACAGTATTTCCTAATCCAGAATTTCCTAAGTATTTCTCAAACTTCATTGTACTGCGACCCCTTTCTGACAACAAGAATTATTACATGACCCTGTGGGGGGAACCAAGCCTGAGCCCACCCAAGCCCTGCCACCGCTGGTGGGGAGGGGGTGTGAAGCCAAAGCCTGAGGCTCAGACTTCAGCCCTAGGTGGTGGGGTTTGGGCTTCAGCTTTGGCCCCAGACCCCAGCAAGTCTAATGTCAGCCCTGGCAACCCCATTAGAACAGGGTCCCGACCCACATTTTGAGAACCACTGTCCTAACCCATCTGCATTTAAACAGATGTGCGAAGTAAAATAGATGTAACTTATTTGCTCCTATATATCAAATAAGACATTTACTATTTTCAGGCAAAGAAAAGCAGTTGTACTTACAATAACATGTTCCTTTAAGTGGATTTCCTTGGTATCGATTTTCTACCTCACACCTAAAAAGAATATTTTTTTTAAATCAATGTTGGTTTTCAGTCTGATTTTCTCCTTTTTTTTGGCTTGAATCTCTATCCATTTAAAAACAATTACGGAACACAACTTGAGCTCAGAAGATAACTGTATACAATGAAAAACAAAAAGGTGCAAGTCTGAAGCTGTAATGAGATATTGAAGAAACCATGGAAACTTGGAAGACCCAAGCAAGCAAGTAGAAAGCAATGAAACTGAAGTATGAAAATTACAGGAAGGAGGTGTTACTCACCTTGTGCACTAATGTGTCCCCCTGCAGGTGCTTCACTTTAGGTGTGCACGTGCCCCTGTGCCTCTGACCAGAGATTTTTGGTAGCAGTGCCCATTCTGCCCACACATGAGCCCTGCACATCCTCGTGCCCCGTACCAAGGCTTCACATGGTGGAGCAGGCAAACCGCTCTCAGTTCTTCCTCTATCGCAAAGCCCACACAGGCAGCTCCTAAGCAGAGGGGAAAAGGGTGGGTAGTGGAGCACCCACAGGGGGATGCACCTCAAAGAATTCCAGTTACTGCACAACATGAGTAACTCCTCCATCTTCAAACAGAATCCCTGTGGGCACTCCACTTTAGGTGGCTCCCTATCAGTAACCCTTTGAGAAGTTGGAAGTTTTGGAGCAGAGTCCATTACCAAAGAGACAACTGCGTTGCCTATTGCTGCATCTGATCTGGCAGTGTAAATAGGGCACAGTGTCAGAAAACATGTACATCAAGGATCATGCTGCAGCCCTGCAGATTTAAGCAACCAGAACATCTCTGAGTAGAGATGCAGACAGTGATCTAGTAGAGCGTGCACTCACTCTTAGGAGAGGCGTAACCGCAGCGAAACCATAGCAGGCAATAATACATCCAGAAGATACATTTAGAAAGTTTCTGAGTGAAGATAGGTGCTCCATTAGACTTCTCTGCAACGGAAATAAAGTCTGGGGGTCTTACTGAATGGCCTAGTCCTGTCCAAGTGAAAAGCTAATGCTCTTTTAACAGCTAACATATGAAATGAAGGCTCTTGTGTAAACTGATGCAACTTAAGGGAAAAAACAAAAAATTAATAGTTTGGTTGATATGAACTCCAGAGGAGTAAGAACTTTGAATGGGGTCATAGAGATACCTTCTCCTTGGAGAACAAAGTAAAAAGACGGCTTCTGCAATTAGCGTCCCCGTTTCCCCATCCCCTTGAGCAGAAATGTTGGCCACCAAGAAGGCGGTCTTCACAGACAGATATAAAAGTGAGCACATGTCTGCTTCCTGAGACGGTTAAGAACAAGGTTTAAAACCCAAAAGCAGTGTAGGGGCTCTTATCTGTGGGAAAAGATTGATAAATACTTTTACAAATCTCACTGTGGTTGGATGAGTGAATAATAAGAAACCTTCTCCTGACACGTGGAAAGCTGTTATTGCTGTTAAATGAACCTTGATGGAATTCCAGGAAAGGCCTGAATTTTTCAATTCCAACAGGTAGTCCAAGATTGAGGAAAGAGAGACTGGACAGAAAACCGATGGCATTGGTTACACCAAAGGCTATAACTTCTCCATTTCTGAAGGTAAGTATGTCTATTAGATTTCTTTCTGCTATTCAACAGTATCTTTGTACTTCTGATGAGCATAAGGTCTCTGAAGAACCACTGAAGAACCAAGACTGCGGTGAAAGGTCTGACTCACATCCTGAGACAATACTGGAGATTTTATCTGTAGCCTCCACAGAGGATAAGAGGTGAGCCTGAGGAGGTTCAGAAACCAAACGTATATTGGCCAAGTTTGCTACAATCAAAATGACTTTGGCTTGGTCCTCTCTGTTCTTGATAAGGATCTTTAAGAGCAATGGAGTTGGAGGATCTGCATAGAGAAGACCCTTTGTCTATATAATGAGGAAAGCGTCTCCTAGAGATTGGGGATCGAGACTCCCTCTGGAACAGAATTTCCTGCACTTTGTTTTGACTGCTGTGGCAAAAAAATTAATCTCTGGAAATCCCCAAGTCAGGAGTATTTTATTGAGCACTCAAGAGTCCAACTCCTATTCGTAATTTAAGGACAAATGTCTGCTCAGATCATCTGCCATGGTGTTTTGTATATCTGGAAGGTAAGAAGCCCAGATGACTATCTGGCTATGAAACAGTTCCAAAGTTTTACCGCTTTGAGGCAAAGTGAGAGGAACACACTCTGCCCGGACGATTGATTTAATACATGCATGCTACGTTGGCTGTCATGATCTTGATGGACTTGTTTTTGAGCAGGGGAAGGAAGTGGAGGAAAGCATTTTTGACCACCCTTAATTCCAAGAGATTGATGTGTAAGCAGTGTTCCTGTTGTGACCATTTTCCAGGGCCTGTGTGAGGACCCAAATGTACTCCCCATTCCAAGAGGGAAGAGTCCGATGTTAATATGACTATAGGAGGGATTCTGGTTGAACAGAATTCCTGCATTAACTTTGGATAGATTCCGCCACCAGATGAGTGACTGTAGGACCTGATTGGGTACAGGTACTTGCTTGTTGCGACTGTGTTTGTTGGGTGTATGAACAATCCTGAGCCACCCCTGAAGACATCAAAGATGCAACCTGGCATTTTGCGCCACAAAACCACAAGCTGCCACGTGTCCCAGCAGTTGCAGACATGTCCCTGCTGGAACTTGAGGGCTGAGCAACACTGTTTGTATAAGGTAATTTAGAACAAGGAACCTGTCGAGAGGGAGATAAACTCTGCCATTATAGAATCCAGAAGTGGCTTATAAAGATAATTCATTCTGTAGGGGTCAAGACTGATTCTGAAATTTATCTGCAGGCCTAAACTTTGGAATAGTGAAGTTGTTGTTTGAACTGCACCTCCTGATATGACCGACCCTTGAGGAGCCTTCCATCAAGGTAGGGAAAGACAACAGAGGTAGGCAGCACCATGCTTTTTCAGAATACCCTTGGGGTGGATGACAGGCCGAAGAGTAGGGCCCAGTACTGGTAATGACTGTGACTGAACGTGGGATTCATCTGTCTCGCAAAAGTAGTAGGCATTTTTTAGATCAAAGGTCACAAATCCGTCTCCTAATTCCAGGGACAGAATTACAGCTGCTAGGGACACCATCTTGAATTTCAGAAGTCTGACATGCTAGTTCAATTGTCTGAGATCTGGTATCAGTCTCCAAGCCCTGTTTTTCTTGTGTATCAGAAAATATTTTGAATAGAACCCCTTTTCCCTGTGTTGAAGTGAGATTGGCTCCATGGCTCCTAGATTTAGGAGTGATGACACCTCCTGTGTCAGCAACTGTTTGTGAAAGGAGACCCTGAAAAGGGACAGGGAAGGGGGTTAAAGGGAGGAACTGAGGTAAACTGGGTAGTGTAATCCGAAGTAATGGCTTCCAATACCCATTTGTCCGATTTTATAGACTCGCATGCTTGAGGAAATAGAGAGAGAGGCAGTGTCCAAATTGAGGAACTGGAGTTGTGTTGTGCAGATGATAAAACCTGGTCATTGGTTGGTCCGGACTCTCACCCAAACAATCAAAACTGGCCTTTGGACGGCACGGAAGGCTGGGATGAAGCAGTTGAGGTATCTGAAGGCTTTTTCTTTGAAAACCATGACTTCTTAGCTGGTAGTTTAGGTGTCCTCTGGAAGGCTGAAAATAGAGCAGGGCGGGACCTTTGAGCTAACTGAGACCTGCTAAACTTCCTTAATTTGCAGGTGTGTATATCCCAAAGACTTAAGTATTGCCCTAGAGTCCTTTAGGGTATGAAGCAAATGATCCATGGAATCTGCAAAAAGCTTCTGGCAATCGAAAGGTTAATCTTCCACAATCAATTTTCCTTCATGCAGAAAACTGAACAACTGAAGCCAGGAAGGTCACCTCATCATTAATGTAGTGGAAATAGACCTGGCTGCCGTCTCTGCCACTTCGTGTGAAGACCACAGTGAAGTTTTTCCCAAAAGCTGACTCTCCTTTGTTATGGAGCTGAGCTGTTCTTGATGTTCCTGTGGTAAAAGATAAATAAAAGGTCTCCTCGGGCTAAGAATGGGGAGAAGGGATGCACTGTATCGGGGAATCAGGTCTTCCATTTTCCCTGAGGGACTGAGGTGAGATTGCTGAAAACTGCCAGTGATACATTGCCCATGGCTCCCAGGAAGGCCAATGAGGGAGACCATAAGGCATAGGGAGAAGAATTTAATGCTGGTCATCCCAAAAGTTGGAGAGCAGTAGTCTGGTGTCCTGCCTCTGCACAGGGAGTAATGTCTCCTTGAATAAATTGGAGATTCTTGAAGTGAAAGCTCTGAGTTTGAGTCAGAATGCTCTTCAACCTTGTATCAGAGGTGACAACCACTCCTCATGGATAGTCAAAGATGGAAAAGAGGTAAGTCTCCCAGAAACATGAGCAGTTGGTGAACCAGCCAACCTCATTACTGAGAGGTATCCAGAGGTTACAAGGAGCAGAGACTCAGGCTTATTCGGTACCAAAATGTTTTTCAGGTACTGGAATTCCTGTGGTACTGGCACAACAGAACTCAGTATCAGCACCGATGGTGTTGCAGAGGTCATCATGCGAGGCACTGACAACAATATCAAAGGAGTTGAGGATTCCACTGAAGCTGGTCTCCTGGCAGTGGAAGTCTTTGGTACCAATCTCTTTACCGCTGAGGTATGGGACTTAGCTGAAGTCTTAACGTGCTTCATGGTACCTGAAGTACTCGGACTCTCACTAGCATTCCTCTGAGGGCCTGAGGTCTCTGGTGACTGGATCTACATTGATGAGGAACTCTCTGTTTTGCTCCTCTTATCTCCTTTCTTAAGCTTGGAGTGCAAAGCTCTCAGTATTGGCAGTGTGATTATCAGCACCTCTGTCAAGAAGAGGGTTGGAGATCAGAGTTTTAATTCCATGTTCCCCTTGGAAGTTCTGTGACAGTGACAATGGAGCACTGACAGATGTGGAGGGTCCCTGGACAAGGAGGTGCTCAGTGCCCCGACCCAAAGCTGTTTTTAAGGATTGCTCCATCATTAATTGTCTCTACTTAATTTCCCTGTTTTTGCAGGATTTTCCCTCAAAAGAAAGCATATTTTACACTTGCTGGGAACATGAGAGTCTCCCAAGCAACGAATGCAGTGGGAGTGCCTGTCACAAACAGGGATTGCTTCTCAACAACAGGAGCACCTTTCAAATACCAGGGAGCCTGGCATCCGCAACGGAAGAAGAGAAGAAGAAGAAAAACACAGAAGACGACGACAACGACGAAGAAGAGAATAAATGTTCCAAGTATAAGATACTAAACCTACAACTAATAAGAACTACTTATAAAGCATAAACACTAATAAAAGGGGAAAATAGGCATACAGCAAACAGGCGCATGCTATACCTCAGTCTCTGATGGAAGGTGGCTGACAAGGAACTGAGGGCGGTTTGCCCGTGCAGCCCTATATAGCCCCGGTACAGGACAAGAGGATGTGTAGGGCACATATGCAAGCAGAACAGGCACTGCAAGCAAAAATCTCGCATCAAAGGTGCAGGGGCACATGCATACAAAGTGAAACGTACACAAGAACACTACTCAAAAGAATAACCTCTGCTTGAAATTAGTTTAATAGTTCTTCACACATGTACCCCATTAAGCAACTCCAGCCAAATAAACAATAGTCTTCAATTCTGCCATACTAGGGCCTAATCCTGTTAACCTTTACTCATGTTAGTAATCCTTCAAAAATAAACTTTGCATTGACTTTATTTTCCTAAACATTGCAATGGAAACATTTCTATTAGGTTGTGTTTTCATATTTAATCGTATTTATTATATTATTCACTACCTGGAAAGATACCAGAACAAATTATTAAACTATCGATGTGTAAGCACCCAGAAGATAACAGGGTTGCAAGGAATAGTCAGCCTGGTTTTCTCAAGAAGAAATCATGCCAAACCAACCTAATTTCCTTGTTTGATAGGCTACTGGCCCAATGGATAAGGAGGACACAGCAGACGATTTTTTTTATTTTAGTAAGGCTTTTGACACAGTCTCACATGACATTCTCAAACAAACTACGGACGTGGTCTAGATGGAATTATTAAAAGGTGAGAGTACGATTGGTTAAAAGACTACACCCAAAAGTATAGGACTGTCAAATTAGCGGGACATATCTAGTGGGGTCCACAGAGGTCTGTCTTGGGTCCAGTACTAGTCAATATTTTTATTAATGTCTTGGATAATGGAGCAGAGAGTATGCTTATAAAACTTGCTGATGACGCCAATGTAGCACTTCGAAGGACAGGATTAGAATTCAAAACAAGCATGATACAATGAAGAACTGGTCTCCAATCCACAAGATGAAATTGAATCAAGACATGTGCAAAGTAATTCACTTAGGAAGTAAATATCAAATGCATAACTACAAAATGAGGAATAACTGGCCAGGTGGTAGTACAGAAGAAAAGGATCTGGGGGCTGTAGGGGATCGCAAATTAAATATGAGTCAACAATGCGATACAGTTGCAGAAAAGACTAATACCATCCTGGAGTGCATTAACAAGAGTGTAGTGTGTAAGACATGGGAGGTAACTGTCCCGCTCTACTTGGCACTGGTGAGGCCTCAGATGGAGTACTGACCACTTCTGGGCACCACATTTCAAGAAAAAGGGGGAGGGGAGAATGGAGAACGTTTATAGAAGAGCTACCAAAAATAATAAAAAGGTTTTAAAAAACGGACCTATGAGGAAAGGTTAAAATAATTAGATATGTTTAGTCTTGAAAAAAAGACAACTGAGTGGGGACCTGATAACAGTTTTCAAGTATGTGCTGGTATGAAAAGAGGACAGTGATCAATTATTCTCCATGTCCACTGAAGGAAGGACAAGAAGTAATGACCCTAATCTGCAGCAAGGGTCATTTAGATTGGATATTTGGACAAACTTTCTAACTCTAAGGATAGTTAAACACCAGAATAGGCTTCCAAGGGAGACTGTGGAATCTCCATCATTGCAGGTTTAAGAACAGGTTGAACAACCACCTGACAGGAATGGTGTAGGTTTAGTTGGTCATGAGTCAGTGCAGGGGGCTGCACTTGATGATCTCTCAAGGCCCCTTCCAGACCCATATTTCTATGATTACATTAGTGCTTAAGAATGGTGCAAGGCACTGTACAAACACAACAGCAGACAGTCTCTGCTCCATAGAGCTTAAAATCTAAACAGATAAGACAGATGCAGAGTAGGGTTTTATAAAAACTTTTTCTACACTTATACTTTGTGACTGTTTATACCTCATTGTGCTCCTTTAAAACAGAGCTTGTTCAAATCTCTTTCAAAACTTACCTCAGATTTATCTATATTTCCTATATATTGACTCTCCACCCCTGCAGGAACTGCTTAAACAAAGTGCCCTAAAAATGACAGTTCACATTTATTTTTTTTTAAATAGGAATATGTGCAGCGGTATGTAAATTCTGAAGAAAAAAAAATCTTACTTTTCATCTTTTAAAATCTGTATAAAATGTTCTCTCTCAGTTGATAAACTCTTAATATAGTAATCTTGAGAAAACCATAGAATCATAGAATCATAGAATCATAGAATATAAGGGTTGGAAGGGACCCCAGAAGGTCATCTAGTCCAACCCCCTGCTCAAAGCAGGACCAATTCCCAGTTAAATCATCCCAGCCAGGGCTTTGTCAAGCCTGACCTTAAAAACCTCTAAGGAAGGAGATTCTACCACCTCCCTAGGTAACGCATTCCAGTGTTTCACTACCCTCTTAGTGAAAAAGTTTTTCCTAATATCCAATCTAAACCTCCCCCACTGTAACTTGAGACCATTACTCCTCGTTCTGTCATCTCCTACCATTGAGAACAGTCTAGAGCCATCCTCTTTGGAACCCCCTTTCAGGTAGTTGAAAACAGCTATCAAATCCCCCCTCATTCTTCTCTTCTGCAGGCTAAACAATCCCAGCTCCCTCAGCCTCTCCTCATAACTCATATGTTCCAGACCCCTAATCATTTTGCTCACTACCACAATATAAAAACTACTGCTGATTTCACTGATGGTGAAGTTAGTTAAATGTCAGCACTGGGAAATGTTTAATGCCATACTAAATAAATACCTTTTTCATTATTTAGAATTACTTTATTATGTACAGTCTTTGGATAGCAAATATTTATAAGAAATGGCAACTCACAGTTGACACTCATCTCCTTTAATTCCTTTGGTAGTACAGAAACACTTTCCTGTATTTGTATTACAGATAGAGGCATGACCATTACACTTGCAAGCTGTAAAGGAGATAAAGTAGGTTTTGAGTAAAACAGTATGGACAGATTTGTTTACAGTGATTAAAACATTTAGGCAGAGAACTGAGATGTGTTAAAGGTTAACTACAAACCAAAAATGTACTTATGCCCATTTGCTTGTTTATGATGCTTAAAGACCTCAATATCAGATTTTTGGTTTGTTTTATGTTTTTTGGGGGTGGGGTTAACATTAAAAGTATCACCATATACAGAAATCACTGGGTGAAGTTCTCTGGTCTTTGTTATGCAAGAAGTCAGACTAGGTGATCAAAATGGTCCCTTCTGGCCTTAAAATAAATAAATAAATATATGAATCCTCAACTGCCCCATTTCTGCTGGATGACACTTTGAAGAACTGGTGTACTAATGTGATGATATCACAAGGGAATGAAAATTCAAAAAGGGAGGAACTGGTCTATATTTACAATACCAAAAAACAATACTAATACCTATTTTACTCAAACTCCTGACAAACATTTTGGAGAAAAGCTCTGTGTGAACAATTCAACACTTCTACCTCTTCTTTGGGGAGCTGAAGGTTTCTCCAGGAAAAACGAAGACTTGATATTCCTAGTATTTCCAATGTTAAACAAGCAGAAAAAACTCTGACATCTTTATTCATAAAGGAGTAATAAAAGTACAATAAATTTTTTCTTTGCAGTTAATTTAATATAATTCAAAGGTTCATAGATTCCAAGGCTAGAAAGGAACATTGTGATCATCTAGTTTGACCTCCTATATAACACAGGCCAGAGAACTTCCCCAAAAATAATTCTTAGGGCATATCTTTCAGAGAAACGTCCTGATAGAGAATCCATCCTGGCCCCTTGTAGGTTGTTCCATTGCTTAATTACCCTCCCTGTTAAAAATGTATTCCTTATTTCCAGTCTGAATTGTTTAGCTTTAACTTTCACCCGCTGGCTCATGTTATATCTTTCTCTGCTAGACTGAAGAGTCCATTAGTAAATATTTGTTCCCCATGTAGATACTTACAGATTGTAATCAAGTCGCCCCTTTACCTTCTCTTTGTTAAAATAAACAGATTAAATTCCTTGAGTCGATCGCTATAAAGTATGTTTTCTTTAATCATTCTCACAGTTCTTCATTGAACTCTCTCCAATTTATCAACATCCTTCTGGATGCTAGATGAAAATTAGATGACAGGCTATCAAAGTTCCTTTCATATGGTGCCTAGATTCCTTTTGTGAGCTGTCCAACCAAAGGACTGAAAGGCAGGCTCATGCCCTGTATCTTCACAAGGAATGTGTGTGAAAGGGGAACATACATGGCTTCTGAAGAAGTACTGAACTAGACACTTAGAGGAGTATAAAAGCAGATTCTTCAGCCTCCTGCTGTAAATTATTTTACCTTATCAGGGAGGATTGATTTAAATTAGATCAATTTACATCACTGATTTTAATCATGATTTAAATAAGCAAGCAGAAAACCTTGATTTAAATCACTGATTTGAATTGCCTTTTGCATTCGTACTTTTTAGTTATTTTTCAAAGGTTGATTCTCTTTAACTCAATAAAACAAGCTTAAATGTGCTGGATACGTTCGAAAAAAATATCGAAGTTTACCAAAACATATTTTGTATTTAAAACTAACTGATTTATTAAACCAAAGAAGCATTATCTGTAATCAGTAAACTGAACTGATTATTTCTGGTCACCCTGTCCTTCAAGATTTCAGAAGCAGATCTCCTCCTCACATCTATCCATAGTTTGAAAGAAGATAAAAAAAAAAAAAAAACTTACCTGCTTTTTCAACTCCCAATTGGTTTCTTAACTTTGAATGAACTAGTTATTAAACTGAACTAGTTGAATAAACTGAAAAGAAAATGTTCTCTCTGCACCTGAACAAAAGGGTACTGCTGTCCAACACTGATTTAACACTTCAGCAAACTGGTTTCAGGTACTTAGCCAGTGACTTCCACCAGTAGAGCAGTCTGATTTTCTTTAAAACTTGGCAGAAAACATGTACTGCTTATTATTTCTTGTATTTAATTTAAATGATAGAGTATAATACATTTTGGCCTTAACATAGGACGACGATGCCAATTTCCATTTTTTTCATAGTTTTTTTTTTTTAATTCCTGCATTTAATTTAAATTGGAAAATCCAATTTGATTTAAAAACATGCATTTTATTTATTTTAAATAGTCAATTTTTATCCACTGAGGACCTCATAAAAGCCAAAACAACTTATGGACTATAGATTAGCACTCCCATAGAGCAGAGTTCTTCAGGCTTTTTCCTCAGTGCAGACTGCAAAATACAGAGGATTATCTCAGGGACCACCTCCATTCTTATTCACTGACATGAGGGCAAACTCCCTCCTCATTCATCACTGCATAACATCTCAGTGGCAGCTACTGCACCCTTTGCATGGAAAAGGATTTATGTAGTTTAGCTGTCTTTCAGTGCAATTTAGCAACTCACAGGGGCAAGTGCAGCACCCTATCACCAACCAGCTGCCTGTGGACCGCCAGCAAGTGTTCCAGGCAGCACCCTTTTAGAATCATCACCAGAGAGGAAATGTATCTGATCTCAGGGCTAACAGTGCCTTCTCTTTTCTTCCAAATAGTATTTTTATCTAGCACTAATATTTCTTCATGTGAAAGTTCCATCGGACAATTCAGAAATACCGGATAAACTAGAGAAAGCTCCCTGACTGCTATTTTTGTGTTTCGATTGGTTATACTTTCTGCCCTTTGTTATTAATGCTCTGTTCTACACAGGACAACACTATTTTTAAAAAGCAGCTGCTGAAGCGGGAATTAGCTAGCATCTGGTTATTGTCTTTCTGATATTGCAAATGGCAAGGGGCCAATAAGAAAAGGGGAAAGAACTCTCTTTCGACCAAGTGGCCATAGCTTTATTAAACCTTAAAAACAGCAGCATCCTAAAGTAACCTATCTTGGCAAGAAGGAAAAAGGGGAAGACCTCAGCTACCCCCACTTTTTGCTGTCACCTTCTCACACTTTTTGTCACTCAAATTCCAAGTATGCCAACATTTTTAGGGTCAAAAAGCCTACATTATTCTGAAGCCTACAACTATTCCAAGACCTGATCACAGTTCTATGTAGACCAATGCACAAGTCAGCCACCAAGTCGTATACAAGAGTTCAATTCACAGGAAAGAAGGATTTTTTCCAACTTCCATCCTTGAGAAAGTTGGAAACACCAACCCTGCCATCCTTCTGACATTAATTTTATCCCATTTCAGGGGGAATCTAACCCATGCTATGCCATACTACCAGAACCAACTGACTAAAGTTGCAATCCTGTAAATCAAAGGTATGTTAATCATACCATACAAACACAATCACCACCAATAGCTGGTGAACACACAACTGCTTCCAAGTATTCATGCTCCCCCAAAGGCTGTGACTGAAACACAGGGTGCAACAAACTGACCAATACAGACAGAACAAAGAGGAATTAATACCCAAATAATCTCAGAGGAGAAAAAAGGAGGCAGTGTAAAGGGTTAAGATAACAGAAGACTGCTCCTAGTACATACCAGCCAATCCAGTGCCTGTAACAAACTCTAGGAATTCACCAGTTGCAGCCTTTCCAACAAAAAACAGCTACAACTGGCTAGCAATTGCTCTGGCACCATGGGATGTAGCCATGCCTCCCTGGTCTCCATCTATAATCCAGGCTAGCCCTCATTGGTTGAACTGTTTTGTTCACCTTCACAGTAGATACTGAAAGAATGAGGGTAAACTAAAAACTTGGCCAAATATCTTACAGTAACTTTTTTCTTCTGACATTACCTACTAGCTTTATTAGCTATGGATTAAATGTTAATTGCCATCCTATTAATACTTAGCATGGTTTCCAGCATTTTCCATACCTTTGAATAGAATTTGGTTTGGGATTTTATAAGGATACTAAGAGAGAAAGACATTCCAGCATATGAACGGATTTGAGCATTTAACTCCCTTCGGTCCATTGAAAATCTCTGCTTCAGTGCTTTCCACCTTTGACAGACTTTCATTAGCCAAGTCCCTAGTGGAGGTCATTGAGTCTCTGGCTCTTCTCATTTTATGTGTTATAGAAAACTCTGCTTGGGGGAGGTTCTCTGGAGGTATGGACGGGTGGGAGGATGCTAACCACAGACTGTGACAGGAAGCCTTCCCCTCTGTGCCTCTTTAAACTATTATTCCTTATTCCTTAGGCTATAGATCATGGCTTTCAGCAGCGGAATAATCAGAGTGTACAGCACGGAACTAGCTTTGTCCTGCTGATCAGAATACCTTGGCCCAGGCCACAGGTACACCAAGATGTACAGGAAAGAGATCAGCAAGGACCTGACACTGACGATGCAGGCCAAGGCCAGGACAACCATCTCATTGTCCCGGGTCTCAGCTCAGAAGAACTTCACCAATGGCACGATGTTGCAGGAGAAATGGTTGACGTAGTTGGCGCCACAGAAGCAAAAGAGTCATACAACACGTGAGCAACAACATAAACTGTTTCTGTATCATGCTCAGATAAATAGGCTGGACCCGTCCTGACCCCTCAAAAAGTAACTTATTCTATGTCACATTCTGTGTCACAGGGACACACTGTAATCCACCAGTTAGAACTGAATGCTGGGAGTAAAAATTCATGCCTTCTATTGCCAGCTCACTCTCCAATTCATTGCATAGCTTGGGCCACTCATAACTCTGTACCTCAAGGCACCCTATGTAAAGTCAGTTTAAAAATACCAGCAATAATAATTCACATAGATATTACATGGTTTAATGTTGTATTAAGTATATAACATCATGCCTACCATATTCATTTCCCAGTACTGCCAATACCTGTTTATCAAAAATACCAATTTTGGCTAACAGTATCTTATATTTTTATAAAGCTTTTCTTTCTTAAGGACCCCCAAAGAATCTTTCAATTTTAAATGTAATTCCAATGGGGTTTCACTTATTCCACCACTGAAACTGCAGTGAAATATGGCAACGTTTTAACAATGCACAGCAGTCTGACAAAAAGAAAAGGAGGACTTGTCGCATCTTAGAGATTAACCAATTTATTTCAGCATAAGCTTTCGTGAGCTACGGATGCATTCGATGAAGTGAGCTGTAGCTCACGAAAGCTTATGCTCAAATAAATTGGTTAGTCTCTAAGGTGCCACAAGTCCTCCTTTTCTTTTTGCGAATACAGACTAACACGGCTGCTACCACCACCATCCCACCACCAACCTCAGCCTGGTCCAGTCCACACAAGAGATCCACTTCCTGGACACTACAGTGCTAATAAACAATGGCCACATAAACACCATCCTATACCGGAAACCTACTGACCGCTATTCCTACCTGCATGCCTCCAGCTTTCACCCTGACCACACCACACGATCCATCGTCTACAGCCAAGCTCTGCGATACAACCGCATTTGCTCCAACCCCTCAGACAGAGACAAACACCTACAAGATCTCTGTCAAGCTTTCTTACAACTACAGTACCCACCTGCAGAAGTAAAGAAACAGATTGATAGAGCCAGAAGAGTTCCCAGAAGTTACCTACTACAGGACAGGCCTAACAAAGAAAATAACAGAACGCCACTAGCCGTCACCTTCAGCCCCCAACTAAAACCCCTCCAACGCATTATTAAGGATCTACAACCTATCCTAAAGGATGACCCAACACTCTCACAAGTCTTGGGAGACAGGCCAGTCCTTGCCTACAGACAGCCCCGCAACCTGAAGCAAATACTCACCAACAACCACATACCACACAACAGAACCACTAACCCAGGAACTTATCCTTACAACAAAGCCCGTTGCCAATTGTGCCCACATATCTATTCAGGGGACACCATCACAGGGCCTAATAACATCAGCCACACTATCAGAGGCTCGTTCACCTGCACATCCACCAATGTGATATATGCCATCATGTGCCAGCAATGCCCCTCTGCCATGTACATTGGTCAAACTGGACAGTCTCTACGTAAAAGAATAAATGGACACAAATCAGATGTCAAGAATTATAACATTCATAAACCAGTCGGAGAACACTTCAATCTCTCTGGTCACGCAATCACAGACATGAAGGTCGCTATCTTAAAACAAAAAAACTTCAAATCCAGACTCCAGCGAGAAACTGCTGAATTGGAATTCATTTGCAAATTGGATACTATTAATTTAGGCTTAAATAGAGACTGGGAGTGGCTAAGTCATTATGCAAGGTAGCCTGTTTCCTCTTGTTTTTTCCTACCCCCCCCCCCAGATGTTCTGGTTTAACTTGGATTTAAACTTGGAGAGTGGTCAGTTTGGATGAGCTATTACCAGCAGGAGAGTGAGTTTGTGTGTGTATGGGGGTGGGGGGGGATGTGAGAAAACCTGGATTTATGCAGGAAATAGCCCGACTTGATTATGTAAAGAGTTGTCACTTTGGATGGGCTAGCACCAGCAGGAGAGTGAATTTGTGGGGGGGGGTGGAGGGTGAGAAAACCTGGATTTGTGCTGGAAATGGCCCACCTGATGATCACTTTAGATAAGCTATTACCAGCAGGACAGTGGGGTGGGAGGAGGTATTGTTTCATGATCTCTGTGTGTATATAAAGTCTGCTGCAGTTTCCACGGTATACATCTGATGAAGCGAGCTGTAGCTCACGAAAGCTCATGCTCAAATAAATTGGTTAGTCTCTAAGGTGCCACAAGTACTCCTTTTCTTTTTGTGAATACAGACTAACACGGCTGTTACTCTGAAACTCTGAAAGCAGTCTGACAGCAGCAAAGAATACAGTGTCTAACTAAAACAAAAGGAAGAACTTCGATATTGTACGGTAAAGGGAAAATTCCAGCTTGATTTGCTACCAAAACACTGGGATTAATACTACTCCTTTTAAAAAAAAGGACCATGGACTTTTTACATTATCCGCAATGGGTCATAGGCTTTAGAGATGGAAGGGATCATTATGATAATCGAATAAGATGTCCTGAATACACAGGTCACGAAGTTTCATCAAGTGATTTCTGTATTGTGCCCAAAACTTTGGCTAAACTAGAGCATCTCTTTTAGTAGGACATCTAATCTCACACATGAGACATACTGCTTGAGTTACCTTAAATCAAGCGGTACGTCTCATGTGTAAGAAGATATTTCCAGCAACAGACTTCCCCTCAGCAAAACTAACGACAGTCAGGAAGTCTGTACAAGCTAAATTTGGCCCTCTTGGGCCTATTTGTTATGCTAAGTTTTTTTTAAAATTACATACTCCCATGCTATTTTTGTCTCCACAGAATTCCCATCTCATTCAGCACACAGCATGAGTTCTACCCCTCATTCTGCCACAGGCTTATGTGATGTTTGACAAGACTCTCTCAGAATGCATATGCACAGGAGGATTGAATTAATGTTGCACAGACAGCCTTCATCCTGGCATTTCCTAGTTTTTGAGAGCTTGGCTTTGCAACCTTAATGTTCTTTTAGTGTAGTTTGGGTATGTAATAAATTAAATACATTAGCTGATATACACTAAGAGGGATCTGATTTGCACTCAGATACTATGGTGATAAGCTGCAGTATAAAACCCCCAAGATTTGATTATACTACAGATTTAAGACTTCACTTACACTGGCATGTTCCTCCATTAGTAGGATCTCCATAGTAGCCAGATATACAAGTCTCACAGTGTTTGCCAGTTGTCAGGTTCTCACACTTTTCACAGATGCTTTCATTTACACATTTACTGTGCCCATTGCACTGGCAGGCTGAGGAAACAAAGAGATACTTGGTAGTTGTGCTCAAATGTAGTGTATCATAGAGTGTCTGAAGAATCTGATCTGCATTTTGGGTTAGCAGTTTAATCACTTTACGAATGGAACTACCTCATGCAAGTTCTGAATTGCAAAGAGACCCTGGTTCTCATGCTATGGGCCGTGACATCTGAGATCATCACGAAGATAACTGTTCAAATATAAAATGTTAGAGAGGTATAAAATAAATTGATTACCAAAGTATACAACAGAAATACTCCTCTGACTGGACTGGAATTAACAATAGGGAGAGGTTCATGGGGTTGGAGGGAGGCAGGCAGTCCACACAATTCTGGGATCTTCACTGGATAATTCAACATAAATGTGCTGCATAAGAAACTGGGCCTTGCTAATAGTCAACTGAATATTTTATTTAGAAAACCAGAACTGCATTTCTTCTTATTTTCATTCATTCTTCCTGTTTAAATATACTCAAAAGTGATTAATATAAAGACTAAAATGCTGTAGTCTGACTGTGGACTCCTTCCTTTTCAAAATCAAATTTACATTCTTTGTGCATATTTCACTTTTTTTCTCTTCATTTAGTAACAGGAAATTAAGTTCTGCAATCATTTAAGCATTTGGTCTTTCACCTGGAGTCTAAGGCTATGTCTACACTACACAGCTTTTAGCAGGGGTGAAAGTGGGCTGGTACGGTTCAGCGTACCAGTAAGGAGCCGGTACCAGCCCATACCAGCCGACGTTAAAGCACTGTTGCTGCCCCTTTTGCCTCCCACTGTCGGCGGCCCTGCCGGTAGGGACTGCACCAGTAGGGCCACCAACGGCCAGGTGGGAGGGGGTGGCAAAAGGGGCAGCAACGTTAAATGCTGCCATGGCAAAGAACCCTCCTTAGGTTGGCGGCCCTGCTGGTAGGATCCCAACACAGGGGGCGGGGGTAAGGGCAGCTTCCCCGGGCTCAGCAATTTAAAAGGCCCCAGGGCTCCCGGCTGCCACCGCCGCAGCAGCAGCCAGAGCCCCAGGCCCTTTTAAATCGCCGCCGGAGCCCAAGACGGCATGGGCCAGGCAGCACAGATGGGCTGGCTGGGGGAGGCTGACCCCCGCAGCTCCGCCCCTTCCACCCAAGGCCCTGCCCCTTCCGGGGGCCTGGAGCCAGGCCCCTGTACCAGTAAGAGTTTATTACTACTTTCACCCCGGCTGTGTCACCACAGCTGTGCCGCTAAAAGTCACCGAGTGTAGCCGCTGTTTGTCTGCTCTCCTGCCGACAAAAAACCTCTCGTCCCAACGAGCGGCATTCACACTGGCACTTGCTGTGGCTAAACTTTTGTCTTGGGTGGAGGGGGAGGGTTTAACACCTCTGAAAGACAAAAGTTTTGTCGTTCAATTGCCAGTGTAGACATAGTCTAAGTTTTATGACCTCTGAAGTGTTTCAATTATTAAAAATAACTTCTGCTCAGTTACCTGGACACTGGATAAAGGACCAGTTGTATTTGTTCTCTGCTGGACACATGCTGACGTTAAGGATGGGTTCCAGGTAGTATTTTCCTGTTGTTGGTGGAGATGGCATCTTTACTGGACCTCTGTAGGAGCCTTCCATGCATTTCCCCTTTCCTGTGTTACTAGGGTCCGTACACCAACCACAGCCAGGCTGTTCCAAACAATGACTACATGTGCAGTAGCCAGAACAGTTTGCAGCTTTGAAAATAAATGTCAAATGGTAAAATAAACCACTGGATACCTCACAATACAAGACAATATTTGAAATAAGAATCTTCATATGCCTTTTACTGATCTTGAGACTGATCCTTACAAGTTGGAATCAACATTTATTCTAATACATTTATAAACAGATGTATTTTCATGAATTTCTATTAGTGTACTTAATCCGACAATCTCAAAACTTGCTTTTAAACTTTATTACAAACTAAACAAAACAAACAAAAAACAGCCTGTTATCCAAATTGGTGAAGTAAGGCACAGAGTCTAAATCATTTAACCAGTTACAGAGAAAGCCAATAAACAGCAGAAAAACACCCAGTCCCTTTCTAAAAATTAAACAGTGCACACTAAAATGTTGCTGAATGTTTTCAATTAACTATGTGAAGTATAACTGTCTTATTTACAATAAAATATTAGAAACATGAAATACACGGTCTCCAAATGAAGGAAAGAAACAGTTTTAGTTTGATTAACCAATGACCTGTTTCAAATCTTTACTGAGATGTACCCCACTTTATTTATACATGCACCATATACAGCTTATATTACATGCTTCTATATCAAATATAAACCTAAATTAGAAAGAAGGGGTTATCAAGGTAATTTGTCCTCAGGCTACTGTCTCCACAGAACCACTTGGTAGAAATGGAGTGCAGCACCATGCAGACGCAAAACATTCTAAAGCAAACTCAACAATTAGGGGGCATATGAAGATCCCTCAAGCCCAGCATCCTGCTGAGCTAGGGTGTAAATTCCACACACCCGTTAGCTATTCCTCAGTTCCTTGTAATAAGTGGGACTGTTTCCGTGATGACATAGAATTTGTCTTATTTGCAGGAGCAACCTCAATGTTGTGCTATTCTGCTTCAATACACAGTTTCATTCAATCACAGATTTGATCTTGAACAAATGAAGGAAGATTTTCTGTACTCAGAGAGGAGTATAATGTCTTTCTATCTTAACTATTGAATTCTTGGCAGTGTTTGCATTTTGACTTTAGAGGCAGAACAATATGCTTCTATTACTTTGCTCCATTCAATCACATCTCCTATCACTTCCTTCAACTTCAAGCATGTGGAGTAAAATACCAGCTATCTGTTTATGAATTAATAATTCAAAACTAACCATTGTACAGTGTTTATAAGCAATTTTCATATTCACTGAAGAGAGAATGAAAAGAAACAACCTATTGGATAAAATACTGTAGAATGAAAAATAAGATGCTAGTCAGCTTCGTCCAGAACTGTATCACCGGATTTCTTGACCAGCTTCCAGCAGTTTCTAAATCCTAGCAAACTCAGCCTCCTAATTTCCCCCTCAAATATTTAATGATAATTCATTTCCCCCAACTACACCATTCTCTATTACCAATGACTTTACCTAGACCCCCATTCCCACGAGGCTCCTACAAAATTCTATAACCTCTTTATGGTTTCAAAATACACAAAACGAGAACCTTGATGTTCTCCTCACTGCTGTTTAACTTTTAGAATAGCTCTCCTTTTAAATAACAGATCAAATTTAGAAATGAATACTTCTGACTTAGCAAAAATATTTTACATATGTTTTGCTAATTTAAACATTTCAGAATGACAAGTTGAAAAATTGAAAAAATTCTGAAAAAAAATACTGGATATGTTTTCTTCCTGAAAAAACTGAGTTTTCATAACCCCATTTGAGAGCTTACATTATTTGCTGTTTAGGTTAGAGCCATACTTTAGGGCACAATCCTGCTCAACACCTTCCATGAAACATAGCATGTTCAAGGATTAGTCCTTACATTTGTAAAGCTCATCCAATCAGGGATCTGTGATTTTTCTAACACTGTGTAATTGCTTATGATTTTGTCACATGAAATTTGTTAGCAATTTATCTAAGCCAAGCTTTCTTAGACCGTCTTTCCAGGTACAGAGGAAATTACTCACGTGGACAACTGCTCATGGTGTACCACTCCATACACTGGCCATAGGGGAAAGAGGCCACGTAAGCATTTGAGTCCACGCACTGTTTCATGTTACTGCACCACATGCATTCAGAGCTGCCACTCGTGCATTCTCCACACGCCGTCCTCAAGGCACAGGGCGTGCGACATTGCTTGGCACTGTGGTTAGCTGGGCATTAAGAAACAACACTCAATGACATGAGAAAACAGATTACACAATATTCTATTTTATGGTAGTAAATTACAGGCCCTTGCTCATTTGCACAATTAAAAAAAAATAGTGGTGAATAGCTCTTTGTCAACTAGCCAAACTGGGAAGTTCAGTGTGACAAATATACTAGAGCTGGGTGAATACTGGATTTTTTTTTTGGTTTGCTGGCAGTTCTGAAAAATTGAAGACAGCTTCATTTCAGGTTGAACCAAAATAAAATATTTTCAAAATTTATGATGAATCAAGAAGTCAAAAAAAACTGAGTTGGGTTGAAACAAAACATTTAGTTTTAACCTAACTTGAAATTTTTTTGTTCCAATTTCAGGTATTTTCATAAATGCAAAAAAGAACTAGATTCACAAAATGTAGGGCAGGGGGAAGACGACTTCTATTGTAATTGCAAAAAGAAAAGGAGTACTTGTGGCACCTTAGAGACTAACCAATTTCTCTAAGGTGCCACAAGTACTCCTTTTCTTTTTGCGAATACAGACTAACACGGCTGTTACTCTGAAACCTTCTACTGTAATCGTTACACTAGTGGTTAATATACTTTCCTGGGTTCAATTCCCCCTTCTGCTTGATGTGGAGAAATTATCTTGAATTTGGGTCTCCTCCACTGCAGGACAGGGTCCTGGCTACGGGATATTCTAGTATGGTGCTCTCTCAGGCCACGTCTACACTACCAGCTATATTGGCACCCCTAAGTCTATGGGAGAGCACTCTCCCATCGACTTTGTACTTCATCTCCCTGAGAGGCAGAAGCTATGTCGAGGGGAGACTGTCTCCTGTCAACACAGCACAGTGTGGACACCGCTGTAAATCGATCTAAGCTACATCGACTTCAGTTACATAACGGAACTAGCATAACTTAGATCGACTTACGTCATTAGTGTAGACCAGGTCTCAGTCTCCCCCGTTGAACCTGTTCTACTTTGTATAAATAATTAAATAGTCTCAGAAACAGGGACTTAAACTCTGGTTTCTCACACTTTAGGCAAAAACCCTAACCACCAGTCAATATACCGGTAGTCATTCTCACTCTCTTTCCCTGGCTCAGAACCTATTCATTGTCTTTATGAATGACTACAAATTGCCACTATGCATTTTGTGAATGAACTCCATTGCTTTTGTCAAAATGCCCAAAGCTGAAACAAACTTTTTGAGTCTGGTCAAAACAAAATGGCACTGCCAAAATGTTTTGATATTTTTGGTTTGGTCAAAAAACTATGTGATTAACTCGTGCCCAGTTTGTGAATAGTTTCGGGTTGGCCGAAACTGCATTTTTCAGTGATCAGTTTATTTGCCAAAAAATAATTAGCCCAACTGTACTACTAATTGAAAAATCTCTCAAAATTTAGTTTGAGTATTTCATTCAGTTGTTGCTGAACTGAGTCATTTCATCTGTAACGTGGCCATGATGGGAAACTTTACAATATAAGATCCACGCAGTAGGAAATATATTAGTTACAACAAATTCATTTTTCAGTCATTATGAATTATCTTCAGTACAAATACAGAGTAAAACTGAAAGGAAACAACTTGAATGTTATTGCTATTTATATCTTTATAGTGCTGCATATACGTTATCCATATAGTCCTCTTCACACTTTTGTGAAGATAATTGTGTCAGCATTTTACATGTGGAAGAGAGGGATAAAGGTTAAGTAACTTGACCAATGCTACAGATCAAATCAGTATTAGAACCAGAATTCTAACTCAAGAATTTTTGGCTCCTAGTCTGGTGCTTAATCCTTTAGATGACAATTTAGACGAACCATTCTCCGATCAAAAGGGACAGACACAGACCAAGTTAAGTTTTAAACTAGTTATAGACTAGGTTAAAATGTTGTGAGAAAGTTTCTGCAAACATCTTCATCTCTAACTTTATCCTGTACTAGCGCAGAGCAGGACTTACATTGGTGTGGCTAATTTAGATATGTAATCAGCCAGCCTTTCTAAAATATTAAAAAGAAGGCTCTAATTGTTATTCAGAATAACTATCTAAAATGGAGAGTTAATAGACCCAGCCGTTTTAAAGATATGCAGTTCCAAAAATGATAGAGGGCTTTTCCAAAAGCAAATAACCTCATTTTTCAAAACTCTCATATTTCCAAAGTGTTTTGCTCAATTAACTTTAAACTTCAAAAAAAATTATCCTCTGGCTAGACAACATGTACAAAAAAAATTCAGGTAGAGAATAGTTTTTATTTTTTAGTAAGAAGATTGTTCCATACCATAATTAACCTGAATGTCACATACAAATATACAGTTGGGAGAAAGTTTTAAAGCTAATTATTGCTGAACAGTCTCACTGTACTTCTGCTGGTTTTTTAAATACCTGATTTTTGTACAGAATAACTAAAAAAAAAAACTATTGTTCAAACTGGTCTGTTTGGTTACTGAATGATGCAAACATTCAAAATTTAATTGGGGGGAATCTTATTTGTATTACTTAGACAGTAAAATACTTCTCAACTAGTTTCCCACAAAAACAGAAAAATTTTTATCAGTCGCATATTTACCAGGCCTTTCACAGATACTGCCATTAACTTGGTTGATACATGTTGCGGCCTTCAATCCCTGCTGATAAGGCTCAGCTAAATATCCACAAAATCCAGCATCACTTGGTTCCCCAGGCAGCCACTGGAGCAAGGTGTTTGTAAATGGAGACATGTCTTCCCAGCACCAGTACGACACATTGATCTTCCGCAGCCCTACCCATGGGGTCAAAGTTTTGGGCTAGAGATAAAATAAATGTTCGATTGAATGAACACCACAATTTTATCACTTCACATAGTTAAGAAGCAGGACTTTAAAAACAAACAAATAAACAAACAAAAAACTAACATCATGCAATGTGTATGAACCACTCTACCAGATTTGGAGGTGCAAACATTAATTAAGGGCATATTGTTTTCTCAGTCCCACTGGACTTACAGAGCACATCAACTGGAGAATTAACATCCTTCAGGCATGTGCCTTATTCATCTAATTTAAAACACACTCCCTCCCATCTCCCAAACCACTCCACACATAGTGTTTAAATAGCTGAAAAAAGGTAAGCACTAGAGAGGAGGAAGAACATTTAAATATATCAAACCTGAACAATTCTGAAATTAACAAGAAGAGTTGGCCTTAGATGCTCATGAGTGTATTGTAAAAGGTTAGAAATGGAAATAGCAGTTTTCTGGGGTGATTGTTATACAGAACGCAACGGCAACTTAAAGAAAACGGCTACAAATAGTTTATCTTAGCAATGAAAACAGTTACTATCATTGGGAGCACTCACAAAGTAATCTGCCTACTTCAAAACATTTTATCTTTGCTTAACTTAAACCTGCAACACTTACTGAAGCAATGTGGGTACCCAGCACCTCTGAAAAAATCAGGCCACATTTTTTCAGAGGAACTACAAATGAACAGACAAGCTGCAATCACTCAGTTCTTAATCAGTGAGCACTCTCCCTCAGAAGGTCATTATCAGAGTGAAAGCAGCACATCAGTGAAAGGCAGAGTTCAAATACCAGATAGAGTGTGGCTTTCTACCAAAGCTATTTTTAGAAATTACAAAACTTGCTAAAACAATAAAACATACAAATATAAACTAAAACCAAAAGATTCCTTAAAAATCTGCATAGTTTTTCTAAAACCTTCACCATTTCCAACTCTCTAAGCAATAAAGTAACCAGAGGTAAGTGAACGACATCCTTTCTAAAAAAAGTTCAAATGTTAGAGAGCTTATGGGAATGGCCATCAAGTTCATCAAGTTATACAGCACTCATCACCATGGTATCTAAAAGCCTTGATTTTGAAAACCATGTACTTTTACAATATTCTGCGTATCTCCCCCTTGCTTCACAAATGATTTTTTTAATGTGTAATCTTGTATAGAAAATACCTAATATAGGATTGATAAAAATGGACCACCCTAGTGTCTTATAACTGTTGAACGGTTTCATTTTAAGATCACAGAGCAAGCAAAAGTAGGAAGAAGGAAAAATGTTCTTGTTTCAATTTAACAATTCAATTTTTCTTTAGATATTTGTATTCTACATATAAAGTATGTTTCTGCTCTGAAAAGTAACAACATAATAGCTGTTCCATGTTTATTACCTCATTTCTTTCGGTTTACCATTTTTTCAGTTTACCAATAAAAAGTTAATGTCACTGACTGCTTGCCCTGCGCAGTCTTGGCTCTGAGAGCTTAAATAAGTTCTTCTTCTGTATCATCAATAAAAATGGTTCTGCAGACCAAATTAGGACCTGTTACATCTGTGCACCACCACGACAACCTTAGCAACACTTATGCAACCTGCCACCCATGTCTTTGTACAAGTGTCACTGATTAGAAAAAAAAGTCAATTCTATTGATGTGCAAGTAGTAATAGATTCTAAATCATTTTATTAGTTGTGTTGGCTCTGTAACGATAACAGGGGAAAATGTTGGTCACTAGAGCAGATCTAACTGAATATTTCACATGGGTCTGTTGAGTATCAAACCACTTTTCAGAACAGAACAACAATTTAAGTGCTTTACATGAAGTATATATGGTGCCCTGTAACAGGGTACTGGCTAGGAGGTCCTGAGCCAGGCCCCTGTTAGCTCAGCTCCAGTTAAGTAGTATTAATTGGGGCTGGCTGAGTATGCCTCGCCTAATTGCTAGAAGGGAAGCACCTGAGGGCCTCATTAGCCAGGGGGCTATACAGGGCTGGCAGGAAAGAAGTAAGGGGGCGGATGAAAGGGAGGAACCAAAGGCTGGGCATCCCTGCTGGCTGGAGAAGCTAGCTGTCCCCCCAGGTTGCTACTATGCAGCGGTCTGTAAATAGAAGGTGGTAGGAGCTGACACTGTAAAAGGCACTGGTGATTGCACTCAAAAGAGGTCTCTGGCTGATTTGTTGCAAAAGCAAGAGAATGCCTTGCTACACGCCCCAGTGGAACCTTTATTTACAGCCCAGGGTACGGTTCACATGAGAATTACTCACCTTCATGTTGCAGTCATGTATCCCAAATCAGAAGTGTGTGTGTGATTTTATTATGCAGTGATATCCTTGAGGCACCCTGAATGTTTATATTTATGTTAGACATTTACATTCTCTACTATTTCACTGCAAAGCTGCCATGGAATACGTGGAATCTCAAAAGAAAATCAGCCCCCTGAGTTAAGAGGCATATTTTGATTTTGGTACAAAACACACAGTACCACAGTAAGTACTCTTCCATATTCGGCGCTCTGATACTCAAATGATGTTCAAGAACCACACTCACCGAAGACTGCATTCTCTGCAGCTCCTTTAGAACAAATTCCACCTTCTTCTGGGTTGTGAGAGATGCCAGTAGAGCATTGTGAGTTCTGCATGCCAATTTAGCATTGTCATAGCTCTCTTTTGTACGAGTGATTTTCAAACACGAGTTGCCAACCAAATGCCAGTTTGCTCCGCAGATATTTTCTATGAAAAAGTGAAAGCAATTCATGATACACAACACCTTTCTCCCCCAGGTCAAAACACATCACTTGGAGATGGTGAATGTCCTCCACAAGGGGCCCTCAGCATTGGAGCCTATTCCTTTAATCCAAAAGAGCTTGGTTCACCAACCTTCCTGCCATGCTAAAAGGCACATCTATTAACCAAGGCTTTTGGAGAAGGAGTAGCTTTGATGGGAACAGATCTTTTGGCAGGAGTGGAGTTTTGTTTGGGGTATGCAGGTTAGCTACTAGTTTTAGTTGGATATTTGTCTCTAATTTATGTCAAATGTACCTTTTTAATATTTTTGTCAACTGAAAAATTAAATATTCAACTACTAAATTCTAGTAGAAGAGATATGCCCTTGCCCTCGGAAACAATCAAAACAAGAGGTAGGGTGCAGTACTGCCAATCCCAAGAATTAAATTTTGAGTTAGACTCACTCCCCCCAACCCCATCATGAAACTGGCTTTAAAACGATTAAATAAAAAATTAATACATTTTGGGTTTTTTAACTGCTTTCAGTTCTTTGAATTTTTAGGGTGCATTCAGGTCACGTTTTAAAGTCTCTCTCTATAACCAAATGGGCTAGAAACTTATTTTTTGTTAAATGAAAGCTTTTGCTTGTCACATGACTCCAAGTGCTTAGGACTAAAGAAAAGTGTCAAACAGAGAAAAACATTAAATTATGAAATCTGGCAATTTTGGAGGTGGGAGGGAAGAAACATTTCTCTTTCAGATTTTTTGAAAAATAAAGTATTAATTCAAGGCAGTATACTCGTTACCCTACTTCATCCAGTTATAGAAATATTCAGGACACAGAAGTACTAGGAAAAATAATAGAATATAGTATTTTATAACATCCTCTTGATTCCCAAATGAATAATACAGTACCAATCTTACATTATACAACAGATCATGGGAAAGCACACGTTTTTTGATAATTAAATTAGCCTTGATTACAACTGGGTCTTATTGGGATATAAAATCTTTTGAAACAATTACATAAATAAAGAAATAGACAAAAGTGGGACAAAAGCAGATCTGAAATATTTTGCTTGGAGCTTAAGTACAACCTCTTCATCCACTATATTACTACTGCTAGGGCTGTCAATCACAGTTAATGCATGTGATTAATGCAAAACAAATTAACTAGATTAAAAAACTGTCACAATTGTAGTTTTAATCGCACTGTTAATCATAAAATACAAATTTAAATTTATTATAAATATTTTGGATGTTTTTCTACATTTTTCAAAAATACTGATTTCAATTACAACACAGAATACATAGTGTACAGTGCTCACTTTAAATTATTTTTATTACAAATATTTGCACTGTAAAAAAGATAAACAAAAACCTCATACAAGTCCATTCAGTCCTACTGCTTATTCAGCCAATTGCTAAGAGAAACAAGTTTGTTTACATTTACAGGAGACAATGCTTCTTATTTAATGCCTGCTTCAAATTTACAATGTCACCTGAAAGTAAGAACAGGCATTCGCCTGGCACTGTTGTAAACATTGCAAGGTATTTATGTGCCAGATACACTAAACATTCATACGCCCCTTCATGCTTGGACTTGTAGGCGCTAAAGTTTTATATTGTTTTTGTTTTGAGTGCAGTTACATTAAAAAAAGTCCACATTTGTTGGTTGCATTTTCACACTAAAGAGATCGCAGTACAGTACTTGTATGAGGTGAACTGAAAAACAGTATTTCTTTTCCGCATCTTTTTTACAGTATGAATATTTGTATTCAAAAATAAAAATCAGTTGGATTTCAAAGCAAATCTCACATAACATTAACATATATATAAAACTAATTGTTCCTTATAAAGAACAGTCCTTACCTCACCCTAATCATAGATTTTGATGAGGAAAATAAAGGATGTTTTTGGATTTAGGGATTTAGTATTTGTTTTTAAATACAAAATATACATACCAGGTAAAGCTATGCACTCTTGATTTCTGGGCTCCCACTGACAGTTCTGATCCATGGCACAGCTTTTACAACTTGTCTTTTTGTTACAATAATATGCGGGATTATCCTTGGGGCATTTGTCATATTCAGTAAGGGGTACCTAAAACACACGGGATGTTTACGTTTTTTTCTTACATGTCTATTCACGCTCACAAGGACCACCACTATAATTCTGTAGAAGGGGCAACAAATTAGGTCTACTGAAGGACCAATATTTTCAGAAGATGTATCATGTTCAGAATTCCTTCCCCAAACCTGCATGCTAAGCCACCTCCCTCACCATGCTCAAGTCCCTCTTAAACCAGTTGTGCCATCTTGCTTAAAAGATGTGAGGAGAGAATCAAGGGTTTTTTGGACTTATGAATGGAATCATCAAGATGTGCACGTGCCTTACCAAATAAATCATATGATGTTATTAGTGGCAAAGATGCCGACGAAGTGGGTATTCACCCACGAAAGCTTATGCTCCAATACGTCTGTTAGTCTATAAGCTGCCACAGGATTCTTTGCCACTTTTACAGTTCCAGACTAACACGGCTACCCCCTGATACTTGATGTTATTACTGATATCCTCATCTTTCCTTGCCCCTTCCCATTGTCTCTTTAGGATACTCACTACTTAAGTAGCTGAAGTATAATATAATCCAGGGTCCCACAAAAAGCCACTGAACCTCAAGAAATTCAGATGTTTGTAGTTACAGTTACACAGCAGAAACACATACATAGAAGTCATTGTGACACAGATTAGTTTTCCTGACATTTGAAACTTCATAGCAAGATTAACATTTTCAGAGTGATTATTAAACATGTTTACCTGATCATCTGTGCAGTTGTTATGCTTTAAGATACACTGGTCAGTGCACCATTGACAGTTATTCGTATTCGCTGTACAGCTATAGCAGTCTGTAATCTGATTACATTTTTCATGATCTACAACAATTAAAGAAAAAAACCTGCATGACCCAAAACAAGCATTTCCTGACAGAGTTCTAAGAAGCTGTTTACACACGTGTTATAACCAATGGCTGTGCCAACAGATTTCCCATAACCCACAACAGCTATCAATTAAACTGGACTTCTTGTTTTTACTTTAATTTAACTAAGTTGAAAGAAATTCCATTAATTTCCTCTGTCAATAAATTTTAAGTCACTTTCAGGAAAGTGCACCTGCAATTCAATGGAGAAAGACACACAAATGTTGAGATTGCCCATGTAAGCCCAATAGACATATGTGCAAATGACAAATGGACATCTAATTTAAGTGTGCAAATGCAGACACATTTTTCAGAAATCCTGGCTCTCAATTGGGAGTTTCATATGAAGTTTAAATCTTCCAGTTCATCATCTTCCTCGTTTATCTACTCTGCTTATGCAGTACTTTGTTTATACACTAAAGATCCCAAATTACTGTCCTTTTACATCAATTGTTTTCACACAATTAAAGGATGCAATATACTACAGAAGCAAGTTTCAGAAAAAAATCAACTCTGGGAGCTGGCAGAGCACTGGCATAAACTATTGCAGACTTGATAGCTGTTAGAAATTTTAATAAATGGAGTCCAGAATTAAATGTAGTTCCAAGAAATTGCTCAAAGATTAGTAACTCTATGAGCCCCTCTCCCCACTCTAGTTGAAAAAGTGATAGCAACAATTATCTGATGACACCTTCCCTCTTGGTGAGCACAAAGGAGTGCAGCATGGCCCTGCTCCATCTTTCCCAATGGTGCTTGTCAACAGAGTTGGAGGCTCTCAGAATGACAAATCTCAGTCACTTTCTATGGAACAATGGTCCAAGCCTGTCTCCCATTGGGAAATTTAATAAAAGAGCAAAGATAATAGCAACAGTCTGAGTTGGGTGGATGTTTAAAGGAGAAAAATTGAGAGTTTTAACTGTCCAGCCCCCAAACAGCCAAGCAATCATTTCAGCAGCAGTCTGTGGCCCTCAAGCCATTTCTATCACTTTACTGTAGCATTTAATTTGTACACTGTCCAGTTTTTATTAACACAAAATTAAAGTCATGCTCTCACAGTAAGACACAAAAGGCTGTTTATTAGAAGTCTACAGGTGCACCTTCTACACAAGGTATGTAGCAATAGCTTGCTAATGCACACGCTGTTGTCACTTACTGCTAGAAGAAACATACTAAACACATTCAAATTATTTTTGGGACCACAAAACCAGCCAACTCCTCGATTTTTACTCGTTTATCTTTTTGCTAACTCTTGGAATGTTGAATATTTTCAAGAAATAACCTGAAGTTTACAACTGTGGTAATGAAAAGATTTGGCATACCCAATAGTGTAGGCGCAGCTGACTTGTTCATTATTATAGCTGAAGTTCATATCATATAGAATCTTGGCCCACAGTCCCTGACTTTGACTATTTAGTGAACAATGTAATGTACAAAAATGTGAGGAGGAACAGAGAAGATTTGAAACAGTATGGAAAGAAAAAAGCAAAGAAGTCTATTCTATATATGCTTTTATTCCACACTCATCACCACAGTATCCAGAGTACCTTCCAGTAGTGCATTAAGCTATGAGACTACACATCGGTCACGTGATGTTTGTTCTTTTATCCTCTAAGATGGAGAAGCATGTGTAGTGGAGTGCCTTGTTTTGGTGGTAGTGCATCTTTTTAACACAAATATACTCGTTGCTATGTGTCTATGTTATAGAAGTGCAATGCATACATACCTGGTTTTGAAGGACATTCTTCAAAAACTTTTTGTTGTTGCTCTGCTGTTGCTCTTTCCCATGGGACACACAGAGAAAAAGTGGTGTTCCACACACACCTGACTCCAGGACCTGCTCTTAAGCAAGATGTCTCATTGTCATAAGCTTCACAGCTTTCTGGTGTATACCTCAGGATATCGCTCAGGAGGAGACTGTTGAAACCTCCAAATATATACACAGTGCTAAACATAAATAAGAAAACTGAAGTAAATGTTATGTTCATATATTTGTAGACCATTTATAGCTGCATTTCAGTTATACAGCTCTTGATAACTGTGCAGGGCACCTAGAATACATCGATAGGAGCCCTCTTCTTGTAAATCCAATTAAATAAATAGATGTTGGTTAAGGAACACATTAAACAGAATGGTGTCTCAGATTTCCATTAGTTCAGTAAATCTCAGTCCATGACTTTTGAGCCATAAACTGCATCAGATCACTCCTCAGTCAGGGATTGTTGTGATCTATATGTTGCAATACGGTATAGGCCATACGGGCCTAGTATAAATGCTGTATGCGTACGTGAGTTGTGTGCTGGCACCTGAAGCAAGGATTTAAGGTTATGAGCAGTCAAGAATTGTCATGCAAAACAAACTTTGTCATGTCCATAAGAGGAAATGGAACGTCTTGGATTACGGCGGCCTGCCCAGAACTGCTCTCCTGGAATTACGGATGAAAGGCTTATTAAACAGACAAAGAGCTAATGATGCAACAGTCTGGTCTATAAAAAAAGTTGTTTGCTATAGCTGAAATTGCAGCCAGACCCAGACCCAGATCCCTGAAAAAGAAGAGGCGTGTAATGTGAGGCTCCCCATGCCTGGTGATCGGACTGAATTTCGACTAGCCATTGGGATTTGCTTCGGATCTTCAGACTCCGGTGTAGTATGAAAGGAGTGTGAATGTGGAGTGAGTGGGGTTTATATTCTCAACCAAAAAAATATTTAGAGTATTATATACCAACACTTCCAGTATCTGCCTGCTCCCCCATCCCGTAGGAAGGCCTCTATCAGAGCCTAACATTTGGTGGAGAATTGCGGGGGCGGGGGGAAGGGGGAGGAGAGATATAAGGAGTGCTGGATTGTGAGACGGGGTCTCACAGGTGACTCCTTATTTGTAGGATTAGAAGTCCGCTTGGGGAGATACTGCGTTGAGTTTTGGGAACATGCCATATTAAGTATAAGTGAGTGAGAGCGTGCGGGGAGATACCGTGCGAGGTTTTTGAGATGTTTAAAAAGAGTAAAGGGGTAGAGGAGGCACGCTAACGGATTAAAGTTAAGCCCCTTCTATGTTAGGGACGGAGATTACTGCATTTGGGACCTGCCCTTGGATGGAGGATACAGTGGAACCTGATGTGATAACTGATACATTAGAAAACATGTTTGAGAAGTATGTACAGCTATACAAGCCTAATGCCAGCAAGAAGCAGGACAGCTGTGATATGGCTGTTGTGGCAGGCTACGAAAAAGGTAATTGAATACAAGGGGGAGGCATGTGCCGGGCTACAGACCCCGCAAGAAAGTTTTAAAATCTGCCAGGAAAGTTTAGAGAAGGACGTAAGGCAAGCTCAAGTAATGCAGACTCAGTTGGAACAGCTGGGAAAAGAAACTAGAGAACTGGAAAAGAGAATGATGGAATGGGGACACAGGCAAGGCTCTGTGGCATCAGAGCTGGGAACGGAATACTGGGGAACAGACTCTGCCAGCGTGTAGAGCTATGAATATGTTTGCTTGGAATTAACCCCAATAAACATTGCAGTGCCTGCACTTTGGATTTCTGGTCTTCTGCTCTCTGTCGGTGTGACAGGAACCAGGGGAGAGGGTAAAAGAAATGAGGCACTTAAGTCCGCTTGTACGAAGTTTAGAGAGGGGGTCTCAAACACGCGGCCCGCCAGCTCCTCGTGGCACCCCCGCCCCCCCAGCATTTACCTAGAGTAGCTCCAGGCCGGCGTGAACCGGGGGCAGGGCAGGCTCCCTCCTTGCTTGCCTGCCCTGCCCCCGTGCTGCTCCGGGAAGCGGCCGGGACCTGGGAGATGGGGGGGCACAGGGGACTGTGTGTTGCCCTGGCTGCTCCTCCAGGTACCTCCCCCGAAGTTCCCGTTGGCTGCGGTTCCCCGTTCCCGGCCAATGGGAGCTTCCGGGGAGGTACCTGGAGGAGCAGCCAGGGCAACACACAGACCCCTGTGCTCCCCCATCTCCCAGGTCCCAGCCGCTTCCCGGAGCAGCACGGGGGCAGGGCAGGCAGGCAGGGAGCCTGCCCTGCCTCTGGTGCATGCCGGGCTGGACCCGCCCCCCGAACCCCTCCTGCAGCTGAACCCCCTGACCTGAGCCCCCTGCTGCACCCCACACCCCTCCTGCACCCCGACCCCCTGCCCTGAGTAGCCTGCCACACCCTGCACCCCTACTCCCTGCCCTGAGCCCCCGATGCACTCCGCACCCCTCCTGCACCCCCTGGGGACAGGGAGGGGGCGGAGTTGGGGTGGTGGATTTCAGGGAAGGGGTTGGAATGGGGGCAGGGAAGGGGTGGGAAGAAGCAGGGCAGGGGCGTGGCCTCACCGAAGGGGGGGGCGGGGCGGGGCCAGGCCAGGGAGGGGTTGGTCAGTGGTGCAGCCCTCGGGCCAATGTACTAGTCCTCACGTGGCCCTCGTGGTCATTTGCGTTTGAGACCCCTGGTTTAGAGTAAAGGCAGCATTATGGGAGACTGCCAGTAACTTTTTTTACATTTGGTGCTACTCTAGTAAAGGCTACTGGAGGATTGTAAATTAAAGTTTGGGGCAGTTAAAAATTACGTGGCACAATAGGGTTTGGAATCAGAAGCAAAGTTAATACACCACCTTAAGAGACAGGAGCTGCCACTTGGTCGGAGTGAAAAAAGGAAAAAAAAAAAAGTTTTGAAGTGAAAAAGGGAGAGTGAATGGGTTAACCCCTGAAGTTGCTCAGAAACAATTAACTGCAACAGAGAATAGCACTTCTGCAATTCAAGGGAGGTGCAAACAAAAGCAGCAACAACAACAGAAAAGCCACAGGGTAAGGCAGCTGTATTGCACCTTAAAGAATTGAATGCAGAAGTAGGTAAGTGAAGAGTTACAAGTAGCTTTTGCAAAAATTAATACTACAGATGTCAAGGTTCCTTCCCCACTCTGCACTCTAGGGTACAGATGTGGGGACCTGCATAAAAACCTCCTAAGCTTACTTTTACCAGTTTAGGTTAAAACTTCCCCAAGGTACAAATTAATTTTACCCTTTGCCCTTGGAATTTCCACTGCCACCACCAAACTTTAACTGGATTTACTGGGAAACGTAGTTTGGACACGTCTTTCCCCCCCAAATCCTCCCAACCCTTGCACCCCACTTCCTGGGGAAGGTTTGGTAAAAATCCTCACCAATTTGCATAGGTGACCACAGACCCAAACCCTTGGATCTTAGAACAATGAAAAAGCATTCAGTTTTCTTACAAGAAGACTTTTAATAGAAGTAAAGGAATCACCTCTGTAAAATCAGGATGGTAGATACCTTACAGGGTAATTAGATTCAAAACATAGAGAATCCCTCTAGGCAAAACCTTAAGTTACAAAAAAGACACACAGACAGGAATAGTCATTCTATTCAGCACAGCTCTTTTCTCAGCCATTTAAAGAAATCATAATCTAACACATACCTAGCTAGATTACTTACTAAAAGTTCTAAGACTCCATTCCTGTTCTGTCCCCGGCAAAAACAGCATACAGACAGACACAGACCCTTTGTTTTTCTCCCTCCTCCCAGCTTTTGAAAATATCTTGTCTCCTCATTGGTCTTTTTGGTCAGGTGCCAGCAAGGTTACCTTTAGCTTCTTAACCCTTTACAGGTGAGAGGATTTTTTCCTCTGGCCAGGAGGGATTTTAAAGAGGTTTACCCTTCCCTTTATATTTAAGGCAACAGACTTTGTAGGGAAGTAAACACTTTGGATCTGTGAGAACGTTAAAAAGTAATAGTTGTGGTGTTATAAAAAGGGAATTCTTGGTTTAATAATAAAACCCAGTTATGTAAATATAAATATACATGCAATGCGGTACAGTCACATTGGGTGAAACCGTGGTAGTTAAACAAATTATACAAGGGCGTCAGGTAGAGTGGCTACTGCTACCACAATGTGTTATCCCCAAAAGTCTTTACAACTATTCTGAGGGGAAATGGGCCCTTTTCGCACAGGAATAGTTTGTAATCAAAATCACTAGGGGTAAGGTGTGGGGTGGGGGTTAGGAGGGGTATTAGAACTTAACTTGACTGCCTTCAATTATACAAAATGGGAATGTAATCTGGGTATAGTATTATGAAAAAAATAATTAGAGCAGTGCAAGGAATATTAAGCACACAAAAAAGAATGTGTGTGTGTAAATATTTGTGTGTAATTACGTAAGGTTTTAAGGACCTAAACCAACACTCCTGGTTTGTAAAATTCTTTTTGTAGGTTTAAGATAAATTGGGCTTGTTTTGTTTTTAAATAAAAAAAAATGCCACTAAAATGGCATTTGAATCTCACATCCAAAGTTACAACATTGACAGACCCTTTTGCCAGAGATGGCAGCTAGTATGATGTGGCTTTGGTATTTAGCATTTAACCCTTTGGGTACTTCCATGTGGTTATAAAGTTTAATATCTTTTAAAATGAGGACCGAAGACTGTGGCCATGGCAGGGACAGCCACAACTGGGAAAATGGAGAGAGATTCTGGATCCCTTTGTATTTTTATTTTGGTAATAAATAGCAGCTAAGTATTGCAGGAGGGGCACAAAAAGACAGACAGTGTATCTTTGAAGCAAGAGCAGGGGTGAAATGTACAAAAGAAGCAATGTCAGAAACACCCAGCCTTGAAGTGGCTCTAAGTAATCAGACTGTCACAATGTTAAACCTTGACATAAATGCTAGTGAGTAACCTTGTAACAATGTATAATGTGTGTAATTTGGGGGGGGGGGGGGATTTTCAGCATGCTAAAAATGGTCATTAAAAATAAATCTCATGTTCAAAGATCTCATAGTAATACTCTCAGCTATTACCTGTGAATAAACTTAAAGCTTGGCACAGCAGAGAAGCTATTACAAACCTAGTCTGCTGTACAAAAAGGGAAACTGAAGTACTCTGCCTCATGAATTTCATAAACAAACAGTGGGATAATTCACCCTTTTCTTTAAGGGTAGAAGCCATTGAAATCTGACCAGTCTATAGAACAAATCACAGGAAAGTATAGAGGTAATTTCTCTGTTTTTCTTGCAATCAGCAAGGAGATTCGTAAGAGAGATTTTTAAGCAATAATCTGTCCCCACAACGGGGAAGGAAATGTGGGTTTTTTTGTTTTTCAGACACTACAGGCAAGCTGGTGCCAGCAGAACAACTTAGAACACCATCTACTGTTGCAACGAAAATTATGCTGTGTGATTTGTCTGGTTTGTCTTGTCATTACCATTATTTTGATGGAAATTGTACAAGATGGATTAACACATATAGCGGCAAAAGTCAATGCATGGTATGATCTGTCTAGAAAGCCTGGTCCATTCAAGGTGGGAATTTAAGTGATATACCAAATTCCAGGAGAACATCATCTATTCCCAGCCTGCTGCTACTGGGAACAGAGAATGGAGGGTGGAAATAGGCTCATTGCATGCAGTGAACAAAGAGACAGGAGAGTTAAGATGGGTACCTGAAAAAAACTGCAAAGGGATGAAATTATTAACATCTGCCACTCCATGGCACACCAAGGAATAGAGAATATGCTGCTTTTTAAGGTGAAACAAATTGAAATTTGGCCTCGAGTACGGGAAGATGTAGAAGGATTGGTTAAAAATGGTACAAAATGAGTGGCAGACAGCAACAAAACACCTAGTGCAGGGCCATTGTTACATCAGAGAATTGTAGGGCCATGGAGTAGGATACAAATGGACTATATTGATAAGTTGCCGAAAACTTCCAGAGGAAATCAGTATTTGCTGGTGGTTGTGGATTCTTTTTCCGGATGGATGGAGGCGATTCCTACCCAGAATTATACTGCAGAGACCACCACTAAGAAACTATGGGAAATTGTTTTTAGCAGGTATGGAACTCAGAGTAATTGATTTGGATAATAGGCCGCATTTTGTGGGGTAAGTAATGAAAAGCTTACTGAAAGCTTTAGGAATAAAGCAGCAGTTACACATTCCTTATCATCCTCAATCATCAGGATCAGTAGAAAGAAAAGGAGTACTTGTGGCACCTTTTTGCAAGGATCAGTAGAGAGAATGAATCCAATGATTAAGCAGGCTCTACGAAAAGTGGTATAGGAAACAGGTAAAGATTGGGATGAGAAATTACCATTGGTGTTGGTGGCAATTTGAAGTAGTGATGAGGTAGGTACAGGGTACTAGCCATGCTAAATTCTCTTTGGAAAGCCTATGAGGCTGTGGAGCCCTCTACTGTAGCCAGGAGAAGGGGAAGTAGAGGAAGTATCGCTTACCCAACGCGTTAAAGAGTTACCGACTGAACTTAAGAAAATGGAATTTAGATTAACAGATGCAATTTGGAAAGCAAGAGAATATGTGAACTCACAGGCCACTCAAGATACGAAATTATGGAACATAGGGGATAAGGTGATGTATCTGAGGCTGACATCAAAAGATCATGTCTTAGAATCAAAATGGGTTGGAGCCTTTTCAATTATGAATAAAATTTCCCTCACTGTAGTGCAAATTAATAAGGGAAAAAGGGGGAAATGGGTACACACATCAAAATTAAAGTTACGGACCAAAGATTAATAGAAGGGGAATGTCCAACTGCACCGGAGATATCCCGAACAGATCCTGAATTGGGAGTGTGGATACTGTGCTATGACTTTTGCAATTGGCTTGCTGCTTACACTCATTTTGCTTTGCATTATTTGTCTGGTGGAAAGATTGTGCTGTGTGAATTACATTTTAGGAAGAAGACTACCAGAGCTCGAGCAAAAACAGACGGGGTTAGCAAAGGCTTAACAAAAGCTGATGGGGTAGTATATTCCGAGGCACTGGACATTATTCTTTTGGAATAACGACCATGACCTCAACACAAGAGGGGTGGAACCAGAAGAAGAAAAAGTTTGCAGGGAATGAAAATTGATTTTAAAGTAAAAGTTCTAACACTGTCAGCAATGATTCAGGAAAAAACGGAAATTATGGTACCCTGAAAGGCGGGGATATGACTTCTGGTTTTTATATTTTGTGAGTATCTGGAGAAGTTTAGGGGTACAAGGATATGCACATGGGAGCACCTCTAAAATGGAGATATGGATTAAAGGGGCTAATACGTTCAGCTATCCATGTGACACAATGGAGAAAGCAGGACCAAACAAAAACAGATGGGAGGGGGAACCTTTTGAGGTGAAATTTGAAATATGGTGGGAAAACGGTAAAGGATTCACATGAGAATATTTAAAACCAGAGGACTTGGAGAAGCAATGGAGGTATTTTTATATTATAACAGGGGAGTGCTGGTTGACCTTTCAATTTAGTCATAATGAAAACAACACGAATATAAGCTTCCTGAATTGCACTTTTTTGGAATTTGGGATTTAATGCAACTACCCTGGATGTGATTTATGAAAAAGAATTGGCTAATGTCCATGTGGGATGGAATGAGTCAGCAGCTCTCGAAGCGTATCATAGAATCATAGAATATCAGGGTTGGTAGGGACCTCAGGAGGTCATCTAGTCCAACCCCCTGCTCAAAGCAGGACCAATCCCCAATTAAATCATCCCAGCCAGGGCTTTGTCAAGCCTGACCTTAAAAACTTCTAAGGAAGGAGATGTAGATGTATGATGCTATGGTAAATTCTTCCATAATGGTGAAATTAAGCTGTTTCAGGAAAATCAACACAGGAATATACTTTTGGGGACATGGTAGCTATTTCGTGCTTCTTAATCAAATACCAGTAAATAAAACCGCCCCAAGAATCATGGTGGATGAACATCCAGATAGAAGTGGGGAAATAACTGAAGCCCCAACTATTGTGGACCAACCAATCTGGCTGGAGGAGTTGCGATTAAATGTGAGTGCACCACATTCAGAGTGTACGCCATATGCCTTGCCTCTATTACTAGCATGGCAACAACAATGGGGAGATGGCGCTAAAAGACGTCAGAGAGGTATAGGAGAATATATTGTGGGTGGCACTGGTGCTGAGGTTGGGGTGTTGAATTCGTCTGATATTGAGACGTGACGAGGGAAAATGTCTTGGGTGAGACAATGCCATCACAAAGATCAAAATTATGCTGTGGCTCTTTGCAAATGAACAGTCAAAGAGTAATTTTTGTCAACTGATAAAACAGAACACTATTTAGCTAGGGAATTGATTTTTCCACGCTCGTGAGGGCAAGGATCACATCTATGTTTTAGGCACAATACCACCTTTGTGTTACTGCTACTTTTACACGCCTGCACACACAATTTTGTTTTAATAATGACTAGTTCAGGGGTTCTCAAACATCATTGCACCGCGACCCCCTTCTGACAACAAAGTTACGAAATGACCCTGGGAGGGGTGCAGAGACCGGGCCCTGCCGCCTTGGGTGGGGGAAGAGGGAGCCACAGCCCGAGCCCCACTGCCCAGGACAGGGGTGGAGCTCAGGCTTTAGCTTCAGCAAATATAATGCAGGCCCTGGCGGTCCTGACCCACGGTTTGAGAACCACTGGACTAGTTAATGCAGAATATGAAAACTAACAGAACTGAATAGAAATTTGGTGGGCAAAAGTTCTTTCCTTTCATCCTACAGTTATTTTTGGTCCCAATTAAGGAAAAAACTTAAGTATATGCTTAAATGCAATTCACAAAAGTCATTGCATTGAAGGTATTTAGTATACAGTCAAGCTGCTATCTATTTTGTGTGAGATTTTCAAAGGCATGAAGGGCAGCTAGAAGCTCAACTCCCTTGAAAGTTTTTGGGAATTACATGCCTAGCTCTCATTTGTGACTTAAATAATCTCCCTCCTTTCATGTGTTTAAGAGAGGCATCCTCAGAGAGAGATGGCACTGGAACCAAAACCAGAGACTTAGCAAATCACATACTCCTTAAAACGTGGATTTTATTATAGCAAACGTAGCCAGCAAAATGGCATGGACCCCAACTGTATTTCTGCCTAAACAGCATATGTTTCTGTCAAAAGACAGATGAGGCCAGACAGGAGGAAGGCTACCAGCAAGCAAAAAAAGGTAACGAAGATGTGAACAGAGGTCTTATTAGTAGGAGCAGTGAAGAGAGAGTCTATTTTTGGAGCTATTAAAACTAATAAAAACAGAGATGACAATGGAGATTGAGAAGGAAAGAGAAGGAGAAGTATTTGGAGGGAAGAGGAAAAACTCAATTTTGGACTGATTAAGTTCTAGAGATGAGATGGCAATAGTGTCTGGTCTAGTCGGAGAAGAGAATGAGTCAGGACAGCTAAAAATAAGAAAGGTTATAGGTTGGAAATCGAGAGGTTATAGGTTGGAAATCTTCAGCAGAGATGCAAGTTGAAGCTATGACAGGAAGTAAGGTCACAGAACTTGAATTTGGTTTCCAGTTGGAAGTTCTCAGTGACCTTATAAACACATACATATATGTTTGCATATGGGCTCATTTAACTACACAGTATGCAGATATAAAGCAAGACTTTTTTTTTGTCTTCTGACCTGTTACTCAGCACAGCAGAATGTCCAAATCTGTCGACATCATGATGGAGATCAGGTCGAGGAAGTACTGACCAATGATCACAAGCTAGGATTAAGGAAAGCTCACTTCAGAAAAGTTCCTCTAGCATAATTAATAACTGACATTTAAATAGCACATTTCTTCCTGAAAGATCCCAAAGTACAGTACTTCAATAGCTACACAGAAACCATTTCATCCCTCACCACAATGCAACCACCTTCTACAATGGAATGTGGTAGCTGTTTAAAAGCACAAGGCACAACACACTATACAACATTTCACGACAAAGCGAACGCTGTATCCATTTGAGACTATCTTAGGGCCAGATACAGCCTGGCTCTTACACGGGTCTCTGGTGGGCAGGAGTGCAATGAGCCTTCCCTACGCCATCATGCAGCCTGCATAAGGACTGGGCACAGTAGCATTCCCTGTGCTTCAGGGAGTTAAGGGACCGCTCTTATCCGTACTTTCCCATGAAGCCCCCAAAGAGGAGGCGATGGCATGCAATGGTTCTTCCCCAGCCTTCGCACCCATCCATGCAGCGGGGGCGTAAGCTGTACTGCTGGAGAGCTAGCTGCTCCTGCTGGCCTCCCTTGGAGGGACTCAGTGGAATAACCTTCAAGGACTTTGGGAGAATTATGGGTAACAGTTTGTGGGGTTTTTTTGTTTGTTTTAATTACTGGAATTAATCACTAAACAATGAACCTACTTTTTACCCGTTTATATGTGAACGTCCTCAGTTTTGCCCTGAATGGACATAATGTGGAGCAAGGGCTTTAAGATATGTATACACAGATCATTATTATTTCGCAGTTATGTGATTTGAGGGAAGCCTGGCATAATAGTTTTGATTCATGATTTTTTTTTAAAACTATTGTGTGATTATTGCATTCTTTTCTATTAGCATAACATAGAATCAGAGAACTGGAAGGGACCTCGAGAGGTCATCTAGTCCCGTCCCCTGCACTCAAGGCAGGACTAAGTATCTAGACTATCCCTGACAGGTGTTTGTCTAACCCGCTTTTAAAAAATCTCCAATGATGGAGATTCCACCAGCTCCCTAGGCAATTTATTCCAGTGCTTAACCACCCTGACAGTTAGTAAGTTTCCCTCATGTCCAACCTAAACCTCCCTTGCTGCAATTTAAGCCCATTGCTTCTTGTCCTATCCTCAGAGGATAAGAACAATTCTTCTCCCTCCTCCTTGTAAGAACATTATATGTACTGGAAAACTGTTAGCATGTCCCCTCTCAGTCTTCTCTTCCCCAGACAAAACAAATGCATTTTTTTCAATCTTCCCTCATAGGTCATGTTTTCTAGACCTTTAATCATTTTTGTTGCTCTTCTCTGGACTTTCTCCAATTTGTCCACATCTTTCCTGAAATGCGGCACCCAGAACTGGACACAATGCTCCACTTGTGGCCTAATCAGCACAGAGTAGAGTGGAAGAATTACTTCTCGTGTCTTGCTTACAACACTCCTGCTAAAACATCCCAGAATGACGTTCGCTTTTTTTGCAACAGCGTTACACTGTTGACTCATATTTAGCTTGTGGCCCACTATGACCTCCAGATCCCTTTCCGCAGTACTCCTTCCTAGACAGTCATTTCCCATTTTGTATATGTGCAACTGATTGTTCCTTCCTAAGTGGAGTACTTTGCATTTGTCCTTATTGAATTTCATCCTATTTACTTCAGACCATTTCTCCAGATCATTTTGAATTTTAATCCTATCCTCCAAAGCACTTGCAACCCCTCCCAGATTGGTACCATCCGCAAACTTTATTAAGTGTACTCTCTATGCCATTATCTAAATCATTGATGAAGATATTGACCAGAACCGGACCCAGAACTGATCCCTGTGGGACCCCACTCGTTATGCCCTTCCAGCATGACGCTGAACCACAGATAACTACTCTCGGGGAATGGTTTTCTAACCAGTTATGCACTCACCTTATAGTAGCTCCATCTAGGTTGCATTTCCCTAGTTTATTTATGAGAAGGTCATGCTGGACAGTATCAAAAGCTTTATTAAAATCAAGATATACCAAGTCTACCGCTTCCCCGCTATCCACAAGGCTTGTTACCCTGTCAAAAAAAGCTATCAGGTTGGTTTGACATGATTTGTTTTTGACAAAAACATGCTAACTTATCACCTTATTATCTTCTAGGTGTTTGCAAATTGATTGCTTAATTATTTTGCTCCATTATCTTTCCGGGTACAGAAGTTAAGCTGACTGGTCTGTAATTCCCTGGGTTGTCCTTATTTCCCTTTTTATAGATGGGCACTCTATTTGCCTTTTTCCAGTCTTCTGGAATCTCTCCCATCTTCCATGACTTCTCAAAGATAATCGCTATTGGCTCAGATATCTCCTCAGTCAGCTCCTTGAGTATTCTAGGATGCATTTCATCAGGCCCTGGTGACTTGAAGACATCTAATTTGTCCAAGTAATTTTTGACTTGTTCTTTCCCTGTTTGAGCCTCTTCCGATCCTTCCTCATTTTCACTGGCATTCACTATGTTAGACATCCAGTCACCACCAATCTTCTTGGTGAAAACCGAAACAAAGAAGTCATTAAGCACCTTTGCCATTTCCACATTTTCTGTTGCTATTTTTTTCCCCCTCATTGGGTAACGGGCCTACCCTGTCCTTGGTCTTCCTCTTGCTTCTAATGTATTTGTAGAACGTTTTCTTGTTACCCTTTATGTCTCTAGCTAGTTTGATCTCGTTTTGTGCCTTGGCCTTTCTAATTTTGTCTCTACATACTTGTGTTATTTGTTCATATTCATCCTTTGTAATTTGACCTAGTTTCCACTTTTCGTAGGACTTTTTTGATTTTAGATCATTGAAGATCTCCTGGTTAAGTCAGGGTAGTCTCTTGCCATACTTCCTATCTTTCCTACGCAGTGCAATAGTTTCTTCTTGTGCCCTGAATAATGTCTCTTTGAAAAACGGCCGACTGTCTTCAATTGTTTTTCCCCTTAGACTTGCTTCTCATGGGAGCTTACCTATGAACTCCCTGAGTTTGCTAAAGTCTGCCTACTTGAAATCCATTGTCTTTATTTTGTTGTTCTCCCACCTACCATTCCTTAGAATCATGAACTCTATCATTTCATGATCACTTTCACCCAAGCTGACTTCCACTTTCAAATTCTCTACCAGTTCCTCCCTAATTGTCAAAAATCAAATCTAGAACAGCCTCTCCTCTCATAGCTGTCTCCATCTTCTGAAATAAAATATTGCCTCCAATACATTCCCAAGAACTTATTGGATAATAAACTACATTTCTGAGTGCTGATTATTTACTTTGGTTTCTCATGTAATTTCTTTCTTTAGGCACTATGAAGAAATCACACAAGACACAGAGAACCCACTAATCAGCCAAAGGAACAAAAGCAGAAAAAGTTTGCTAAATTAAAGTGCTATATGTTGGGCCAAGTAAAAGGGAATGCCGTGGAGGCTAATGTCCAAAAGACTGCACACTTTTTATCCCTGCCGGTGTAGGTAGAGCCTCTCTCATAGTTTGACTTCTTCAGCATCAGAAGAGGAAGACACTGAACTTTGTTAATTGATCTACAATAAGTTAACATGTTTCATAAGACTGAGAAACTGGAAATCTCTATGCAATTAATAGAGAAAAGTCAGTATTTTATTAGGGAAGAAAATCTAAAGAGTTCCAGACTGTTGACAAAGTCTTTAATATAAGGTTATGCTATGTTGCATCACAGGTTGAAGCCACTGGAAAATAAATCCACATCCTCCAACAGGTGTGCAAATCGACTTACAAGAGGGTGCAGTGAGAAATAACCCTATTATTTCTTTAGGAAAGTTATTTGAGGAACTGTGGGGTAAGAGATTTGATCTGGAACTACCCTTCCACAGAGAGTCATTTATTTACCTTCTTCCTGTGCCACACCTAGACAAGAAGGTTTGTGAGAAGAGAAATAGTTAGGACTCTACTAGCTCCATTTATTGCTCTAGCAAATGGTTATTCTGAAATTGATTTTTTTTTTTAAGTTATCTACTCAATTGTTACAGGATGTAACTTTTTCTGACATCATTCATAAGACTAGCACACATGGTTCAAGTTTGTAATAGAAGACTTCAGCAAAATTGGAGCATAATTTGTAATTTTATATCCAGCAAATTGTGAGTTATGAGGGGCCAAAAAAATATATTTTTCTAGAGTATTAGGAGACTTGATATGTTTTGCTTTCTAAGCTCCTTTCTCAATCTTTAACAGAAGATCAAATATTGGAAAAAACTAATGGTATAGAAATTACTAAGAATTCTCTCCTTCCAACCTGAGATTTACAATGTATTGATTATCCAAACAGAATATATGTGCTGTCAAAATATATAGCTTTACTCAGTAATTGGTATCATAACAGTTTGATAGGGCAAACATTAGAGATTTATTTTTTTCTCCTTTTCCGGGGACAGTAATTGTATTCATGGCCTTACTGTAAATGATTTTTATGTTGACCTTTTAAAATGATAAATACACCAGACCCTCGCTAGAACGCGCGTCTATATAGCGCAAATTCGCATATAACGCGGTCGCGGCCATGGATCCCAAATTTAATTACTTTAATTGCAATTCATTTTAACGCGGTTCCCGTGTTAACGTGGTACTGCACATGGATCCCAAATCCTGCGTTCTAGCGAGGGTCCGGTGTAGTTTAAAAACTTGCTTAAATCAAGAAGTCAAAATTCAGAATATTAACCCTATTACAGGGAATCAAGAAGAGATTCTTTACTTAAGGGAATTTCAGTAGGTGAGATCTATCCTTTGCTGTATTTAATACCTAAGGGTATGTCTACACTGCAATTAAAAACCCACAGCTGGCCTCTGTCAGCTGACTCAGGCTCACGGGGCTCAGGCTAAAGGGGTGTTTAACTGCAATGCAGATGTGCAGGCTTGGGCTGTAGCCCAAGCTCTGCACCTTTCTCACTCTGTAGGGTCCTATAGCCTAGGCTCCAGCCCAAATATGTACACCTCAATTAAACACCCCCTTAACCCGAGCCAGTTGCAGGTGTTTAACTGCAGTGTAGATATACCCGAAGATACAGCAATTTGAATTCTGTATGGTGCTTTCTCCTAAAATTTCAATTCTCTGGATATGCATGTATTTTCTCTTTTTAAATAATTTCACCTCTTATATTTATTTAATATAGTTTCTGGACTAGGTATTTGCAAATAAATGCTGCCCTCTTCTGGCTACACGAAGTCACCAATGTCTAATCCTTTGAAATAAACCCCAGTCCTTTGGCTTGGTTATTCAATAGCACTTGCAGAGACATTTGGATTTATGGAGTGTACACATTACTCAATCAAGATTTATCTTGTTGTGATGCTTTATATTCAGGAGACCCTGCTCCTAGACCTAAGGTCAACTAATAGAGAATGCTGACTATATGGCAAGCTCTAGCAGCATCCAGTGTTTGTATTTGTCATGACATACTAAGTTTCTGTTACATCACAGATACAGCGTCTAGGAGATGCCAGATTAGTTCCCCAGATGAGATGTTAAAACTACATCCCTTATGCTAATGTGTGTTGTTTACCCAAGCTAAACATCCCCAAACACTGTCCAAAATGAGTAAACAACAAACTTATTCCAAACCACATCTCTCCTACTCAGAAACGGGGTTTTAATATTCAAGGTTGTATGTGAGCTTCTACTGACTATATAACTGCTCCTGTACTTGCCTACAAAATCGCTGCACTGCTAGTATCCAGTTCAATTGTTTTGAAATGTGCAGCAAACCAAGTTAAGTCGGTCTTGCCTGCTTATGCATTCTCCTGCAGTATTCTTACAATAAAATTTGGTATCATATACACAGCATGTAAATTAGTCATTTTAAAGACAGTTTTCTCTTTTCATCTCCATGAAAAAGTTTTTGCTTGGGAACTTACCAATATCATATGCCATAAAATCTGAAGAAAAGCACTTAGCACCATGGCTCATTGATGTGTCATTGTGTGTATTTCCTCCAAACACCAGCATGGTTCCACTCATTATCACAGCAGTGTGCAAATAGCGGAAAAATCTACTATCTTTAAGAATCGTCCTTCAGAAATGAAAACACACACATATTTTTTTAAGAAACTAACAACCCCTCCACCTGACAAAGATAAAGTAATTTCCAAACCCACTTTGGAGACAGATTTGTGGTGGCAATCCACTTACTTATTTTTCTAATATAATATGCAATGGTCTTTTCTTTCCAGTCTGCTCCTTGCCTCCTATAATTTGATTTACTCTTCTCAACTACCCTCCTTCCCCCCGATTCTTGGGGCCATATTCATTCAGTGGCATTCTACTGAAACTTCTTGTCCTGGATAAGGATGTAATACATCCACCTGCCACCTCCAGTCTTCACCAAAACACAATATTTAGCATTTGGCCAGCAACAGCTGTTGAGCCAAAAACTACCCGGGAGCATTGCATGATTGTCCCGGTGGTTACAAAACCCTAAGCCAACCCAAAGGGTCACTGCTGAAATCGGATGCTGTTCCTCCCGCAACCAAAATATCTTGACTGAAACTTCTGAACTAATAATACAGCTCTGCAGATTAATACACGTAAAGGCGGATGCCTCGGCCACGATTAAACCATGGACAGCATTAATTATATTAGCCACTGACCTTGCATCAAAGCAACATGATTAACAGTACTGAGAGCTAAACAGAGCAGTCTCATCTGCGATTTCCCCGTTGTTTTGAGAGGGTAAGGCCTTAAAAGGTTTGGGATGGAATGCACCGCCGACCGAATATCAGTTTCCTGGCTGTGTGGGTTCATGCCACCAGAACCAGCAAAGTTGTTGTCACTGGGATGCTGCTGGACATCAACTTTGTGACTGCAGTTCATGGAGAGGGAAAGATTTTCCCTACCTGTAAGTCACATTTCTACAACAAAGCACTCAACAATGCAGCCCAATGACCTGCTCTGGTGTGGGATAGCGAGCTGAGTGCTGTGGCACTTCCTGCATGGAAGGAGTTTCTGAGCACTGCTCTGCTCCTGGACGGAGGCCGGAATGCAAAAGCCTGTTGAGCAACCAGCCAAAAGCATGGGTGGGCTTTTGAGGCACCACTCCCCTTGAAGGGGAGGAAAGTGCTCAGAAAAAATGGGCTGCCAGAAGGCAGTTTAGAAGATCTTATGGGATGTACCACCAGTCCTGAGAAGGGACAGAAGTGGAAGCCTGAACTTCTAACGTTAGTTGGGCAGAAAGGAGTGGGCGCACAACCTGAAACCCAAGTCACAGAAGCCAGTAGTATTCTACCTTCAGTTTAATTGACCAGGTAATACTTTATTGTCCTGCAAACAGCCAGTACTCAGACATTACATGCAGATGAGGTTAGAAGGTGCAAAGATACTTACCACATCCGTGTATCAACTTCATATTTGTATAAGTCATCTGCTAGTCTATACTTGTTGGCACTGAATGCTTTGTAACCTCCATGGATATAGATTGATTTGGTGTTTGGATCGTAAACACTGCTGTGACCGTAGCCTCCCTGCACCAAGGCTCCACTTGTTTGTAAAATATTCCATGTATTTGTCGCTAAGAAGAGAATGAAACTTGTACGTGACAAAAGACATGTAAAGTATCAGCACTGAAAACAGGTCAACAGATTTAGCTAGGGAACAGACTCTCCCTTAACTCAAAACCATTAGCACTGCATACGCCATAGCTACAGCTTCTCTTTGTCTTTTACTGTTTAAGAGCCAGTCTAAGTTACTCCTCAAAGGAAAAAAAAAGTGCCTACTCAGTGGGTAAGTTAGCTGCCAAGAGGTGTTGTGCTGTCTGATTCTTTTAATTAGACCAGGGGTCGGCAACCTTTCAGAAGACGTGTGCCGAGTCTTCATTTATTCACTCTAATTTAAGGTTTCGTGTGCCAGTAATACATTTTAACATTTTTAGAAGGTCTCTTTCTAGAAGTCTATAATATATAACTAAACTATTGTTGTATGTAAAGTAAATAAGGCTTTTAAAATGTTTAAGAAGCTTCATTTAAAATTAAATTAAAATGCAGAGCCCCCCGGAGCAGTGGCCAGGACCCGGGCAGTGTGAGTGCCAGTGAAAATCAGGTCGTGTGCCGCCTTTGACATGCGTGCCATAGGTTGCCTACCCCTGAATTAGACCATAAGCATTCTCCTCCAACAGTCATTCATTAAACTTCAAAGACAAGCCAAGAGAGTGAAATATAAAAAACATTAAAATAATCTGTCACATTTCGGTGACATCATATCACCACTAAAGTGACTTGATTTGTTATGGTATCCAAAAGCACTTGTTTTGAATATTCTATAGATGTTAGTCAAGAAAGCATAGAAGCCAAACTCACTGGGATATATTTTTTAAAAGAATGCCTGCCTGGTGGCCTAACTATAGTGTTCTTCATAGCCAAGCTTGAGAGTCCAGGTGTGATTGATGGCCCTGGTCCCTGACTCTCTGGAATGGCAGGGTTTGGGAGCATAACAAAGGAAACATCATAAGCCTGAGAGAAGCATTTTACTCAACTAAACACAAAAACTTTTTTTTTTTCCAATTAAGGAGCAATGCTGAAAGGCTCTGAATGAAATGCTATGCAGACTTCCCAAGGCAGGCAAATACGGGAAGAAACAAAATAAATTCAGGGTTCTGACAGATATGCAAGGACTTCTTCCCAAAAATTAAAGGAAACGAATGATGTAGCCTTTGGAAACTTATGCACCTGACAGTTTCAGAGTAACAGCCGTGTTAGTCTGTATTCACAAAAAGAAAAGGAGTACTTGTGGCACCTTAGAGACTAACCAATTTATTTGAGCATAAGCTTTCGTGAGCTACAGCTCACTTCATCGGATGAAGTGAGCTGTAGCTCACGAAAGCTTATGCTCAAATAAACTGGTTAGTCTCTAAGGTGCCACAAGTACTCCTTTTCTTTATGCACCTGAGTGTCTTTAAGAACTAGGAAGAAAACCATATCCGAGTTCCCACATCATAATTTTCTAAAGCAGCAGACTCTAGCTCTGACTACAAGTCTATCTCTTCAAAGGGATTTTTCCATACAGGAAATATAAAACTGATGATGAAGGAGACTCCCCTAATGAACCAAGACTGTCTCTTGGTTTGTTTCTATAAGAATCATTACCTCTGACAATAAATCAGGACACAGTTGTTGTTCATATATCAGGAGACTGTGTTTCCTAGATACTGAAAAAGTTTTGGACTGTTTTTATTTAAAGGAGAGGGTGGCACAGGGGGAAAAATGCCTCTTCTCAGCTTTAATACTAGGCCACAATCAGCTGTATAGCATTTTTGCCAAAGTAATGCACATAATTTGAATGACCCATAAGGGAGATTTTGGTATCCATATTTGCCATAGCCTGTGACGCCACCATTCAACATGGCAGTCTAGAAATCTTGTTTCCTTTTGCTCACTTCTTAAGAAAATCACAAATTCCTAACATCAGCTATTTCAGATACAGTAACTACATCCCAGCATGTTACCTAATGGCACTGCATGCCTAGATTAAACAAAAAGTTCTCCAGGTAAATCAAAAAGCCAAACTAATTCCAGGACTGTGACATTAGAGATTTAAAGGAGGACAAGTAAAAAAACTCTGACAAGTAAAAAAAAAGTCAGTGGCTAACTACAAAATTTGGCCCCAACCAAATGTTGGGTACTATGCCTTAAAATCAAGATAAAGCTTCAATGAATTAAGGAAGTAAAAAAGTTATTTATGAAAATGAACTGGAAGAGTTAACACATATATGAATACAATGTATAAACCAATAATATACTGCAAAATTATGATTTGCTGTTTATAGTATGCTAATACTTATAGGCACCAATTGAGATCAGTGCCTTACTGTCTTGGACATTGTATATAAATACAGCAAGACACAGCAACCATCTAGGAGAGCTTACAGTCTAACTTTTATATCTGAACGTCTCTAAAAACTGATGAGCTTCTGAGATACAAATAGCTTTTGATGAAGGTATGCATATGTGTGAAATACAATACATGAAATATGAATCCAGTCACCCCCAAAGAGGATGATGCTACATAACGTTTTATCTGGGCGCTAGGTACAGAATGCAGCAATATATACACAAGAAGAAACGGCATCCCACTTGCAAGTAAAGAACAGATTTGTTTTAAATTCATTTTATAATGAATCTGACTCAATTATTCACAAATCATGCATAATGAAAGCTGCTACAAAAGAGTTTGTAGCTTTCTAAACATCAAGAAAAAACCCTGGAGAGTTTGAGGTTTCATTCTGGAGGCATGGTAGGGAGACACCATGGTCGGGAGCCACCAACACTTCCCACAGTCCAGAAAGACCCTCCACAAGCCCTGCAAGAGTGTGGTATTCCTGGTATTTTAGTTACATTTCTACTTTGCTGTATATTTTTAGAATGCTTTCAACAAAACTCAAGGTTGCTTCATAATCAGTTTAACTTGCCTCATACTTCATTGCAGTTCTGTCACATATACTGGATAGCCTTAAGGGGTACATGCCTTTCTAGTCACTGTACAGATAATTCAGGCATTTTGTACAAGGAATTAGATTCAAGTTCTAAAAAATATAGTGTAGAAAAAAAGGAGGAAGTTGAACATCAATAAGTTCAATATTCTGTTTTTGCATGGATCTGATTAATGGTTGCAAACTGAACACTGAAATACAAGCAAGTGGTAAGACTGTACCTACCAAGGTTGTATTCCTGCAGATTGCTGATATATCCATACAGAGGGCAGTGCCCAAAGATGACGAGCATAACAACACTGCCATCTTCCAGAGTGACAACGTGTGCTGAGTGGCCAACAACGGCATACTGCTCCTTGGCTTCTGGGGTCACTTGAACCCATGACTCATTGTGTATATGGAATACCCACAGCTGATTGGTCACATTCCCTGTTGCATCTATTTTTCCTCCATACATATAGATTTTATTCTGGAAAAAAGTTGGTTTAATAAAGAAATGGTCAGACTTTTTGGCCATTAACACACCACACATACAAAAGAAACAAACTGCTATGGTTCATAGTTCCCCAACAAATGTCCACCACATATTGTGCAATGTGTGCAGATTTTTACTGATAACTCCTGCTAATGCTGATGGAAAGTTAAATGAAAAAGTCTCCTAAGCATTATGGAAGATACAACCATTTCACTGATGTTAAACAAAAATTAAGAAAAACTGTCTCATTTTTCCTTCTAAGTATAAGGTAAATAAAACTATTTGAATTCTCCTCAGCCTCACTCTGGAAAAGGACAACAGTAATGTACCTTTTTCTTGTTAACTATTAAGGAGTTATGGCAGAGTTTAACAAGGCCAATGCAAATCTAGGGCAACATCTGTCCATCTCCTCCTGGTCTTATTCAAATTATGTTGTCTGATGTACAACGTACTTAAGGAGGAAAAAAGGTAAGTTCCCTATGCTATCCTCTCTACCTCAAGAAAAATAAAAATGAAAAAGTATATTATTTTAAAAATCTATGACTACTAAGCAAGTGAAGAGCCTCAAATTATTTAAGCAGTCAGAATCGAACAAAAGATGACCAAGTCTGAAATTATGCTAATATACAAGTGACACATCCAGCCATATTCTTTGTATTCAAAAAAATTCCAACGCAATGTATATGCCACTAAATTTAACTGTCTGGTAGGATTACCTTAACATGAACTTTTTGTTTTTTCTTTTCTTTTATCCCTTGGGCTGCCCTTGCCACTCAAATAGGTAAGCAATGCTTCTCCCAAGGCATTATATACACAGAACTAATACAATTGAAAGCAAGATTTAATTAGCACTAATGAAACTACCTACCTCATGTAATGCCAATGAGTGACCATATCTAATCTCTACAGAGTTCACAGTGCTGTTCAGTGGAAGCCACTCCTCAGAAACAAGGTCATACCTGTATAAATGAGAATTTGAGATTTTTTTGTGTAATTTATATACAAGTTTACCAGTCCTTCTCAGGATTTGTTAGGAAAGATATATTAATAAAAGTATGAAGACACATTGTTACAAATTATATATAAAAAAATCTTTTATGGATAAAAGTCAAACTTAAGCAGTATACTTTAAACAAATATACATTTGTTTCTTTACCATACTTCTACGCAAAACCAAGAGTGACAACATTCAGACGGAGCTATACCAATTTATACCAACTGAGGATCTGAGGTGTGTCAAAAATAGGTTTTACAAAAGCTCAGGGTAAATTCCAACATTTCTATAGGAAACCGTCAGTATTCATAGCATAGTATTTTTTAATTACACTTTCATCATTCAACCATAAAAACTCTCTCTAAACTTAATTTGGCAAGGGAAATCAACAAGAGAAAGACCCCATCACAAAAAAAGTTCATTGGCTTTACATCTAGGGAAGTAGCTATATTTGCAATGCTTACATTCATGTAAAGAAAAATCAGCTTTAAGATAAATCTTTAATGAAGTCTATCCGCATGTGTTTAGTGAGACGAAAAAACAAGGCAAGACTTTGAAAAAGTAGCTAGTGAAAATGAGGATGGACTGCCTTGCAATGATACGTGAATTTTCAAATGACCTTCAAGTATGGCTTAGAGAAACTGCTACTTATGGACCAAACGCTGTCCCAAGTTCTGAATGCATGACTCTCACTGAAGCTGATGGAAGCTATATGTATGCATTTTAGGGCAGAATTAGGCCCTATACCTGTTAGTTTGTAACACTATCTGGATCAAGAGGTGGTTTAAAAGCTTTCCACAGAGATTATCAGTGTGCACTTAATGATAATGGTATAAAAGATATAACAATATTCTTCACAACAGTGGGTGTCATCCTCATTTTACAGATGAGGGCACAGAGTTTAAATGACTTGCTCAAAGTCACACAGTGCGTCCGTCGCAGTCTGGTGCCCCATCCATTGGGATATGCTTCTTCTCTTTCTAAGTTCAAATATCCATTTCAATAGCCAATAGAGCTTCGTTAAGCAGTCACAACCTGAAATCATGCAGGTTAAATAGCAGAAACTGTTTTATAAGAATGAGTTAATTCAGATGGCCTCTGAGAGGATGTAGACTCCGCCTCACTGAAGGTGAGGCAAGACAGAACTTGTGGGGCTTATGGATGAATATACAGAGAATAATAATAGTAAGACAGGACAGTGTTGCAGGAAGGTGGAGTAGGCCAGCACTTACTGTACCTCAGGACTCTGTATGAAGTTTTTCCAAAACTAGCTCCCAACAAACATTAGTAAACTCATGTTGACAGATCCTAGCTTTGCGCAGGGCACAGGTCTGGACACAGTTTGCAGGGTGATATTTTCTAAAATTAATTCTAGACATCTAATATCATCTTGTAGTTGGAAAAACAAAAATGATATCAAGGTATTTGGGTTTTACTCACGCTAAAACCATACGGGAATCGGAATGATTGAACATGTAGCCTCCAACAACCCACATTACATTGCCATTGACAACAGCTTTGTGAGACGCTCTGGGAAGCTTTGGACTAGAGTATTCCTCACGAGTCCAGAACGACTGATTAGCTGGTACAGGGAGTGCACAGCCAGGACCTTTTAATGAAAAATAAGTTTAAAATGTTGAGAAACACTGTTACAAACATACGTGTAAGTGACCATTTATGGATAAAATAAAGCTTCAAAAGTAGGAGAGTAAGGACGCAGCTTGTAGCTGTGCCACATTGGGTGGCAATTTCATTGCAAATTTCACAACCTAAGCCCAATGCTTGGATGGTAGACCTCAAAACCATTGAAGCTGGGGATTCAGTAGAGAGAAATCTTCCCTCTCTGACAGTACTCAACCAGTCCTCTAACACATTATTTGGAGGCACAGTGGACATAAGATCTGGGTCCTAATCACCTGTGGCCATTAAACATTCCATAGACTTTTCCCCCAGGAGTAGAACTGTTATCCTTGATGCTCTGGTAAATTTGGATAATCCCTGGTGCCCTGGATTTGGATAATTTAATTTTGTTTATCTAAATTCCTTCTAAAGTTTCTGCCAATATACTATTCACAATTCCTTCTCTAAACTAATTTGCAGTGTTGCTATATGCTGTCAAACAGCTGCTGTGCTTAACCCTAGAGGTGGCTATATTTCAGTACTATACACATTCACTTCTTAAAGTATTTGGGGATTTTTTTTTATGTGACTGACTAATTTTAGCTCTTAAAATATACAAAGAAAATCAATTTTATGTGAGAAACTGAACATTGCAAGAGGTGAAATTATAGGTTTTTTTAATTAAAAATGGAGCACAGCTCCACACTTCAGTGTGGCAGTACGTGAACAGAATTAGAAACAAATATGTTTCATGTATTTTTGAGACAAGTTAAATCCTACCTGAAGTCTCAACTTTGCTTTCAGGTACAATCGTACATCCTTATGTCTTCTAAGACCGCATTCACTTGCTCATATGGTCAGTAACTTACTTTTTTTTTTTTTTTTTTCTTTTTTTTTTTTTTTTAAAGAGATACATGGTAATGTTTGAGAAAGCAGGATCAAGGCTCTGATGTATGCAGGTGAGCAAGGCACAGCAGGGAGGAGAGTGGAATCAACATCTGCTGAGTGAAAACATCTGCCAGACACTATAATCTCTGCAGCATGCAATCCTGATTTAACTGCAAATGTCCCACAGGGAAAAGCATCCCCCCTCTCAGCAAAAAAATCTCTTCCTGTTTATCAAGGCACTTACCTTGCCAGTCTGAATAGCACGAGCATCCTTTGGTCCCATTCATGTTGCACTGACCTCTCGCAGGATATCCACAATCATCTGTGCAATAAGGAATATCACACGCCTCTCCTTTCCAGTGTTCAGAACATTCACATTTAACAGAGTTACTGCCGTTACTGAGTTTGCACTCTCCTCGGCCAGAACAATTATTGGGACACATGTTGAAACTGCAAACATGGGGAAAACTATGTTTGTCAGCAGTTCAATTGACTACCAAGTCTTGCCTCTTATTACACAAAGAGCTGCTGAACAATGTTAATACAAAGGTGTAAATGTTTGTTCTACATGTCTATGCTGAGATAGGATTTGAAGTTATGGGTCTATACTTGTTTTTGGTCTAGCTAATATTTTAAGTAGTAACATTAAGAGCGATTTCTGTAACCGAGTCCCAAATTAGATGAGCTGATGAGGAAACTAAGTGATTCACTAAGTTTTTAAAAAGAACAGGAGTACTTGTGGCACCTTAGAGACTAACAAATTTGTTAGTCTTCTTTTTGCGGATACAGACTAACATGGCTGCTACTCTGAAACTAAATTCTTAGTGCTCAGCAGAACAACTGGTACTTTGCTGAGAGTCCCAAAATAACTGACTGACAAGTTATGCTTTTCGGATTTGAACCACCTTTGCAAAAAGTTTTGTTGATTTGGGCCACAATTTAAAGAGCTGGCTCACTTAACAAGTTAAATCTACAGCAACGCTTCTAATACAATCCATATACATGTCAGTTATTTATAATGAAAATAAATCACCTCAACACCACTACAGTGAAGGATTTCATCAGCTCACATGAGGGCTTTGTGGTAAGAGTGTGATTTATGTATCAGAAGTAGTTCCAATTACACTTTATTCTAGGACTCACTTAACAAATGCACCACAGGGTGCATGTCAATAACCCAGCCACACACATCCCCTTGAATCATGGTGAACACAGTATTCAAGTGGAATCAACCATGGTAAAACTAGTCCTCCAGTATTTTTAAGCAATATCTGTGTTACAGATTCACATTCAGGGGGCCTTATTCTTTATCAAATCGTGGATAACTGATGTTTCATTAACCACTGACCTTGCATTCAACAACATGAATCAAAGATAGGGGTCACTATCCAAAACCCCATTCTCCTGTACAGAGGCTCTGACTTCCTAATTTCCCCAGGGGTGCTCGAACCCCATTCCACCCCAGGTCCCGCACCCACCCCACCGCTTCCCCCAAGGCTCCACGCCATCATGCCCCCGCTCTGCCCCTCCCCCAAGCACGCCCTGCCCTTGCTCCACCTCCTCCTGCCCAGTGCCTCCTGAACATCGCTGAGCAGCTGATCACCAGTGAGTGGGAGGCGCTGGGGGGAAGGGAAGGAGCTGATAGGCAGGGCCACGGTAGGTGCTGAGCACCCAGTATTAATTGGCACCTATAGTCCTGTAACAGCTTACACCAACTGCACCAAGACTAAATGAAATAAAAGGATTTCACTCTCCATTATAGTAAGGGTCAGAGTGAATTTCAAAGCTTGACTTTGAATTCCAACTCCAGCAACAATACTCTGAGCTGGTTATAATACATCCAAATTTAAAAACAGAAAATCCTTGCATCCTTTCGGTTAAGGACACATTAGAAGGAAGTCTCTCACCCATAACACACAGAACAATCAAAAATCAAAACAAGTATTTTTTATTTTATTTTTGAAAAGAAAATTTTCTGAAATGAGATTGAGCATGTAGAATTAAGGGAAATTTAAAATACAGGTTAAATATAGCAAGTTTATATCCACCTTCTTTTAAGGGAAGGTAGTTCAGTCGTTAGCGAATGTATTCATTGCATTGTTATGTTGGAGTCTCCCACCATAGTTGATGTACGAGAGTCAGTTTGTTTCAGTGCATCTTGTACAAATGTAAACTCACGAGGGATCCACAGATGCATCCACATCTCAAGCAGACATGGCCTCATATTTTTGCCGCAGCCTGCTTTCTTCACTCACACTTCTCTTTGGCTTTTTTTGGTTCTGCCATTGTTATTGTCACAATGTAGTACTGGCAGCTGCCAGTAGATGGTATCATGGTTTTTGGTATCAGAGTGAACAAGATTTTCAAAATTAGATGTCTAAAATAAGGCTGCTAAATAAGTTTTGGCATGACTTTAGAAAGTGCTGAGTATCCTCACCTCCCACTGCAGTCAGCAAGAGCTGCTGGATGCTCAGCTCCTTTTGGAAAAAAAACAGACCACTTACTTAGGTGCTTAAATATGGATTAAGAGCCTAACTTTAGGTATCCAGTTTTGAAAATCTTGGCCAGCGGGTTTAAGCAAAGGGCTCTCTAGCAGACAAAATGTATTAAGTCAAAGGAAAGCCTGGGAAGACACGGATAGCTTAACTGTAGCTATACAATGTTCCTCTGGGTAAGCAGCACTCCGTCCACTCGCTTCTGACTTCTTTTCCTATTTAAAACAGCCCAATATAGATAGCTGGTTCACATGACAAATGCATTTCACGGGTTGATACACATTTAACAATCAGGGATGCTTAAACTTTTCCCGTGGGCTCTGTAGACAGTCATTTGCAACTGAATTTCTTCAACCAACCAACCATTAAATGTTACCAAGAGCTAAAAATTCCTGCACATGAACACCAATTCACACCCACAGTAAAACAAATCCCACTCCACACAAAATCCTCAGACACAACTATACTGAAATAAAATTCAGACCCACAAAAGCAAGAAATTCAATTAAATGTCCAATACCCACGAGAATCTCTACTAGCATGTGTACACCAGCTTCTTCTACTTATGTCTCTAAAGTGACCATTCTGCAAATAATTAGCCCATTAGGGAATAGCCTAAAGGTATTTAAAAAAAAAACAGCACTGAGCATAAAGTACACTGTAGCAAATGTTCACGAAGAACCAATGCATAATGCCTCTTAAAATTATAAACAGGAAAAGTGAGGACGTTTCTTCATAGTCATTAGTCCCAGAGGGGTAGCTCTACTAAGGCAGCCCGGTAACCAACTGGAACTAAGATGGTCTGAAGCTTTTTAGAGATGCCCCTACACATTTCTCTTTACTGTAGGTTTAGTCCAGTGGCCTGAGGGAAATTCTTGTGTGTATGCAGGAATGTAGGGAGGAGAAAAGAAAAAGGTAAAGTCATATGCATAAAGCGGATAAATTCTATTGATTGCATGTGATTGTAGAAATCTAACATTTGCTCAAAAATAGTCACTATTACTCATGTTGCATTTACCCAAGTTTACAATCCACATGTGAGATTAATGCTAGTGACAGAATATTAGACACCTAACACAAATTATGTGATTAATTTGCCTCTTGGCCTTCCAAATAAGCTATTTATTAACTTCATGTGTTAAACCATCCATTACAAAAAGTTCACATGAGCATATTTACTTTTCTAGAAAAGGTAATGAAGGATTAAAACTTAAATTAACTTCCAGTTTCATGTTTCAAGGGCAGCTGCAAGTGCCAAGAGAAACAGACAAAAGACATGAATCATAGGACAGCAAGGTACCTCCTGGGTAATTGAGCCCAGATCCCTCCTGTCTCAGGCAATGCTATCATGCCATCCCATTCATAAACATATCAAGCTTTGTCTTAAAACTAGTTAGCTTGTTTGCTCCCACTTCTCCTATTAGACCGCTGTTCCAGAACCTCACTTCTCCGATGCTTAGACGCCTTCTAATTTCCAATCTAAATTTATTCCTGACCAGTTTATCCCCATTTGTTCTTGTGCCAACATGGTCTTTCAGTTTAAAGAGCTCTTTTCTGCCCGCTCAGCCTTTGCTTTGCTATGTTGACCAAGCCAAGCTCTTTTAGTCTTCTCCCATAAGATTAATGAGGAGTCCAGTAGCACCTTAAAGACTAACAGATTTATTTAGGCATAAGCTTTTGTGGGTAAAAAACCCATTTCTTCAGTTGCATCTGAAGTGGGTTTTTTACTCAAGAAAGCTTATGCCCAAATAAATCTGTCAGTCTTTAAGGTACCACCAGACTCCTCATTGTTTTTGTGGATACAGACTAACACAGCTACCCCTCTGATACTTGGTCCATTAAGATTGGTTCTCCATATCCCCGATCATCCTTCTCTGCACCTGTTCCCGTTTGAACTCATCTTTCTTGAACGTGGTGACCAGAACTGTACACAGCTGTCCAGGCCTTGTACTGTCTTGCCAGTGCCTTGTACTGTGGAATTCATACTTCTCTGTCCCTACTGGAAATACCTCTCCTGATCCATCCTCGGAGTGCATTTAGACTGCTCTTTCAATACGCAACATTTAAATTTCCTCAAAACCATTTGGAAGAAGTATTACTTACTTATAGGTGATGTTGAACCCTGTCAAATTATAGGCAGCATCACTAAAGAAATGGAGTAGGACATAGCCAGAAGTGGCTACAACTTCTGGGATTGTTTCATTGCCTTCCCTCTCAGGAACAATAAGACCACTGAAAAAGAAAGACAATGTACAACGTTACATATACAGTCATGGGAGCATAACAATTATAGTAATTCCACTATACACGTGTCTCAACTATGTGTAAAAAAATAAATTCAAGACACAAGCCGGATGATTTCTTAAATTTGATCACTTTGAAGTGTTACATATTTACAATAATAATCAAAGACTTTAATATGGAAATATCAGATTTAGTGTTTTGTTGAAGAAACTCCTTAAAAATATCTTTTGGGGGAAAAATGATAAAGCCCCTAATTCCTTAAATATACCCTGGATTTCTCCAAAGCAATTAACTTAGTCTCACATGACATTCTCATTTAAAAAAATTGCATTACATAGAATTAATAGGACACAATTAAATGGATTAAAAACTAGCCGTTGACAGTTCTCAAAATGTGGTTGCTAATGGGAAGATATCAATGAGTGGGACATTTTTAGCAGGCTCCAACGGGGATCAGTTCTTGGTCCAAAGCTATGTGACATTTTTATCGACTATCTAGATGATGCTAAAAAAATCTTTGCTGGTTTTGCAAATGACAAAGATTGGTGGAATAGTAAATAAAGAACACCAATTACTATTACAAAGTGATCTGAATCTCCTCTTTATATGCTCAGAATCCAACAAAATCTATTTTAATGTAGACTAATGCTGGGAACAAAGAATGAAGGATGGGAGACAGTGTTGGAAAGCAGCGACTCAGAGACTATGGGATCATTATAAATAATCACCTCAAGATGAGCTCTCAGTGCAATAGTGTGGCAAAAAAAGGGGTGCAATGTGATCTTTGGATGTATTAGAAGGGGAAAATTAAGTAGAAGTAGGAAAGCAATCTTGCCTTTGTAGACACAACATTGACAGGACTGCTTACTGGAGTGCTGTGACCAGTTCTGCTCTACGCACGTCAAGAAGAATGCTGAACCCTTCAGTATTTACAAGGAAGGACACAAAAATAATCCAGGGGCTAGAAAATAAGCCTTATGATGAAAGGGTTAAGGAGCTCAATTTATTTGGCTTATCAAAGAGAAGGGTGACAGGTGACTTGATCACTATATTGCATTCTACACATGGAAAAGATATCAGATACCAGCGGCTTTCAACCTTGCTGAAAAGGCATAACAAGATTAAATGACTGAAAGCTGAAGTTCAACCTTAAAATAAGATGCAATTTCCTAACAGTGAGGGTAATTAAACATTCTAACAGCTTACATGGGGAAATGCTGGTTACCTGCCAGAACAGGAGTTTTTGTCTTGTCTTCTTGTTCTTGTGTTGTATAACAGGAGTTCTTTGTGTTATAAAATATATTGTCCATATGTGTATTCCACTCGAGGTATGCATGTGCTCCAGGCACCTGAGACAAAGACTTTTCATTAAAAGTGTCCATTGGTCCACACCTATGCCCATCACCTCCTTGTGCTCCAAATCAAGGGCACAAGGGGTGGCGCAGAATGACTGCCTCTCCAGTTCTTCTCTACCACAAATCACCTCAGGAAAACATCCAAAGAAAAGGGGAAGGAGAGACGGTAGTGGAATACACTTAGGGACCACATATCTCAAAAATTTCAGTTACTGTAACGTAAGTAACCTCTTTTCTTCGAGTGATGGTCCCTATGTGTATTCTCCTTGAGTTGACTTCTAAGCAAAAAGAAAAGGAGTACTTGTGGCACCTTAGAGACTAACCAATTTATTTGAGTATAAGCTTTCGTGAGCTACAGCTCACTTCATCGGATGCATTCAGTGGAAAATACAGTGAGGAGATTTATATACATACAGAACATGAAAAAATGGGTGTTATCATACACACTGTAAGGAGAGTGATCACTTAAGATGAGCTATTACCAGCAGGAGAGCGGGGGGGGGGGGGAAGGGAGGGGAGAAAACCTTTTGTAGTGATAATCAGGGTGGGCCATTTCCAGCAGTTAACCAGAATGACAGAGTGACCAGACTCGATTACAGACCTAAAAGTAGCAATTCTTCAACAAAAAGACTTCAAAAACAGACTCCAACGAGAGACTGCTGAACTGGAATTAATTTGCAAACTGGATACAATTAACCTAAGCTTGAATAAAGACTGGGAGTGGATGGGTTATTGCACAAAGTAAAACTATTTCCCCATGTTTATTTCCACCCACCCCCCACTGTTCCTCAGACGTTCTGGTTAACTGCTGGAAATGGCCCACCCTGATTATCACTACAAAAGGTTTTCTCCCCTCCCCCCCCCCCCCCACTCTCCTGCTGGTAATAGCTCATCTTAAGTGATCACTCTCCTTACAGTGTGTATGATAACACCCATTTTTTCATGTTCTGTGCGTATATAAATCTCCTCACTGTATTTTCCACTGAATGCACCCGATGAAGTGAGCTGTAGCTCACGAAAGCTTATGCTCAAATAAATTTGTTCGTCTCTAAGGTGCCACAAGTACTCCTTTTCTTTTTGCGAATACAGACTAACACGGCTGCTACTCTGAGACTTCTAAGCAGTACTCCTTGAGGAGGAAGATGCAAGGAACCCTGCTGTACCATAATTGCAGGACCGCTGTGCCAAAGGATGTGTCTGCTGAAAGCTTGTTCCAGGGCACAATGACTACTAAGGTATGCAGAACCTCATATTGCTGCTCTACAGACCTCAAGAAGGGGAACACTGAGGTAGCCTGGTCTCTGGTTGAATGGGCTCTCACCTTGAGAGGGTAGTTGTCACTGCCAGCTCACAGCAAAGCACATGCAAAGACCGTGAGAAGATTGCCTCCCTTTTATACATTGAGCAAAGGAGATGAATAGTCTTGGACATTTCCTGAAGGGTTTTGTGTTCTGCAGGTAGAAAGCCAAGGCCTGATAAACATCCAGAGTATGGAGCTTCTGTGTAAGGGGTGTTCATTCTCTTCCCTCCCTCAGCCACACTGATGCTGGTTCCACCCCTTCAGTGGCTGGCTGTTTCAGTGCATTTTTGGCTCCCTGTGCCAATGAGCGAGATCTGTTCTCCTTTTGAGCTCCATACTCGGGCGCAGAGTATTGCCGGACTTGGAGGGTGTAGGGGAAAGAGGTCTTCTTCCTAGACGAAGATTTAGAAGGGGATTTCTCTCACTTTTTGTGAGTATTCTTGCTCTTCTCCTCCTGTTTCCTAGAGTCCTTAGCTCTGCCCTCTGTGATTCCAGAATCGGGTAAAACCATGCTCAAAGGGGCACTTCTGATAGCCTGCAGCAGATGGACATGGGGTCTGATGACCCAGGGTTGGACTAGGGTCTCATTGACCATTCCATCTCCTGAGCTGAAACTCCCAGGACTGATGGGTTCAGAGGGGAAAAGGAGTGGCAGATTTGCACTGAGAGCAGATGTTGGATTCCCCAAGGCAATGAAGGCTAGTGTCATGCAAATCACTAACCAGGATGACCCTTGGCAGGTGACGTGTAAAAGGCATGCCCTGGCTAGATTACATCTGTGTCTGACCATTTTCTCAGTATTACGTGGAAAAGGGTAGTGTGCAGTCCGCTAAAAATCTGATTGTCATGATTACTGAGTGATGTTTACATGGGAAATAGTTCATGGAAGATGGAAAATGCAGACTATTAGGTTGGAAAACTGTTGAAGAGAAACTTGTCATCTGAGATGTGGCAGGATCTCAGGGCTAACACATTCAACATTAAGAACAATGGACCTCCAGGGAGACAGCACTTCATTTACTGTCTGTCTATACGGAGACTTACGTATTGACGAAGACAAATAAACCTCAGGAGGGTTCTCTGAAGAGGGGGCCACCTAGATTACGAGACAATAGCCTGTAACTGTATGAGAACAGAAGACATGGCACAAGGGGTTATCCATTAGAGAGGAGAAACTCTGCCAGCAGAGGTGTCTTATGAAAGATATAGCTTCAAGGACTACTCATTGGGTGAGAAATACCTTACTAGACAGGAAAGTAACTTGTTAATAAGTACAGACCATCCTTTGCATCTTATGTTTTTCTTTACTGTAACCTCATGGTTCCAGATCTTCATACTTGCTTTTATTTGAATCTTTATCTCAAGTTCTGTTAAATAAACTACAGCTTGGTTTTACTATAAACCTAACTAAGTGCCTTGTGCTACGGACAGCATTGAACTCAGGTGAAACAGTGAACTGGGGAGCATTGCTTCCCAGGAGGCAGAGGATCAGGGTACATTGCTGGTGTTCAGAATATAAACGACTGGGCACTCAAGTGTAACAAGTGTGCTATGCAAATAGAGAGCTTGCACAGAGAAAGATCGGGGCTTTTGGAGCCTGGAGAGGAGTGCTTGTTTTGCCAACAGCTGGTTGGGGAGAGTTTCTCCTGATGGTAGCGATTCGCCCCAAACATCTAGGGTAACCCAACAAAGTGTCACACCACAGTTCCTGAATCCGGAGATCTTGGGCATATTACGTGACACCAAAGAGGAAGGGGGACAGGGAGGGGAAAGAGCCCCCAGGCCCATTCTAATGCTATTCTAACAAAAATATATCTATTAGAGAACAACTGATTACAAGAAAAATGGATTTTTTAACAGGAATACCAGCAAAGCTATGGACACTGAGAAGTCTAGTCTAATGGCAGGAAAAAGGAACAAGAGAGGCAGGCAGTCCATGTGCCCTTTAGGCCCTCTGTTTGAAGCATGAGGTGGTGAAAGGCGCAGGCATGGACCAATAGACACTGCCAATGAAAAATCTTCTGGTCTTAGATGCACACAGTGCATGCACACCTCGAGTGCAACACACACAGGGACCATCACTCGCAGAAGTAGTGGTGGTCTCCATTGCCTGGAATCTTTAAAAGAGACTAGATATCTTTTTAAAAGATGGGCTTTAATTAAGCTTTGGGAGATATTCTATGCCCTGTGCACAGCGTGGAGTGTGGCAAGGTGTCAGATTGCATGATTGTAGTGGTCCCTTCTGACCTTGGAATCTGAATATATGAATTCCCCTTCTCATTCCCTGCCTTTATGGGCCATGGGGATCACAGACTTGCCTGCATTGCTCTCAG